TGTAGAGAGCTATGATCACTAATGTTCTGAAGAGACACAGATTATGACCTTTTGGGGTTCCCAGGCTAATGAAATTATGCAACCCACAGAGAGAGCCACTCTTTAACTCTCCCACAATATTTTTACTTGTGATATATTTTAGCAATATTTACATAGCTTGAAGTAAAATTATTGTAAATTCTTTAAATAAACGAGAATAGCTATCTTTTGTTTGTTAATAAAAATATTCTTTAAGAAATACCAATATTTCACTTCAAATCAAATTAGCACAAATTTCGACACAACCATAGTAAAAAAAAAAAACAGAAGTTTATAACCAGCATTATAACAATAAAAAAAAGTAAATATGATTTTGTCATATTGATATCTTTTCAATTTATGAACCTATTTAGAATTTATAACATCTAGAAAATTAGTCATTGCTTTATAAAAGCTTGAGAGGTCATAGCCTGAAGCCTATGCTAGACTAAAGGATAATCCAGCCCTGGACACAGCACATAAGAAGCATAAAACATGTTTAAAGTAAGTATTATATTCATAGTAAATTTATTTTTTAAGACAAATAGTTTTCTTTATTTTTCTTTTACTAATGTTCCCCTTAAACAAGACTCAAGATTAACCCTAGACTTGAATAGGTTAAGGTTGTAGTGATTGAGTCTGTTCCACAAAGTGGTTTGTGGGAAGAAGTTGACTGAATGGAACTTCCTTCTTACTAATGGAATATGAAAGCAATGAAGATGGTTTGAGTGTATGCAGCATGGTGGGTCTTAGCTGTGAGGGTTAGAATTGGTGGAACTAAGGACTGTAGTTCGTCAGAACATTTTCCATGGAAATAGTGATAGAGTTGCAAGAGGCTTGCAAAATTTAATTTATGGGGAAAGAGGTTGTAGAGTGGAAAATAGACATTTTTGAACTCTATCAAGACTGGAAAGTGAAGACTACACTGCTCCAGCCTATATATAGCAGCAGTACTCCATTTTATTAGTAAATAGTAGATTTATGTTTTAAGGAAAATTTAGATCAATGCTAAACATATTTATTAAAAGAAAAAATAGAGGAAATTTGGCAGAAAAATGATACAATTACTAAAAATAGTAATTTGAAAGGAAAAAAAAATAGAAACAGCTGACTGATTTTCATTCTTGCCTTTTCCTTTCATAAGTGATGAATGAAAATCAGTCAGCTGTTTCTAATTGTTTTTCTTCCAAATTGCCACTTTTAGTAATTGTATCATTTCTCTGTTTAATTACTTCTATTTTTTTCTTTTAATGAATTTTTTTCTTTATTAATCATTTCACCCCAAGCAAAGCAATAAAGCCAAAAAGACACAAGGGGGTTATTGAGTGTGAATGAATATAAGAAAAACATTAAGTAGAGAGAACAATAAAAGAACAGGAATTAAGAAGACAGAAGATAATGATTGACATTGCCTTTAAATTTTTGAAGAGCAAACTTGATTGGGAAGCAAGAAGCCAAAAGAGAGTCCACAAGCAAGAATTGCAAAAGAATCAAGAATTTGGAATCAGCATTGTTTCTTCTGGCTTGTAATAAGGTTTCTTAATCTGTTTTCTCCAACCTTCAGCCAACAGAGTAGCATAAGTCAAACAATCCAATATGTGTCTCCTGTTCACTACCACAGTCACCTTCTTTCTCTGTCACCTCTTTAAGCACTTTTTATAGATTAAGTGACAGTTAAAATTTGCATAGGTGGAAAGAGACTCTCACAAAAATATTTTTTTAAATATACAACTTGTGAAATCACTGTTTCCTTTTGGGGAATATTTTACATGTGAGACATGTCTAAATCTGTTTTCATCCAGGAGGTAAACCATTTTCTCTAGTATTGCAATAATCAAGGGAAGACAAAATTTTCAGTCCTGCAGATGCACAGAATTCTAGAATAAGACTAAGTACAGATTCTGAATCAATGTATTTGATTTAATCTAAAACACACTTTTACCCCAGCAGTAAAATCTTTGCCACCCAGTGTAATAGTTGTCGCATTTGCATAAACAAGAAAGAACTTGTATTTAAATAAATACAAATGAATTCTCCATTCAAATTTTAGTCATTGTTTGTGCTCCTTACATAAAATTCCATTCAACATTAAAAGGAAGAATTAAGTGATATGAGATTTCCACTAGCATGGCAGGAGAATGAGAATAATTTCACCCTATGGATTAAATAAAGGGTTCAGTTCAAAATTTCTGGAAGGTTACTAACTATGAAATAGACCTGAAACAGGCCAGTAAGTACAACAGCCAGAACATGGTAATGTTGACAACCAATCTTGGTTGTCAACATCTGGTCTGAGGATTCTGCTATATATTTAGAGATTTTTAATAAAATACAAAGAAGTATTTACAATATTGTTGGTCCTGAATGGGAATCTTGTCTTCAGTTACTTTCCCATTCCCATAACATAGCTTCCCTGTACCTTTTTCTATAAATAATTTCATTTCTGATGAACTTTCCACTATGGTACCTAGATTACGAATTTAAGCATACTACTAGATTGATGGCAAGGTCTCATCATTTTATAGTTGAAATGGCTAGATGTAACCGTAAGTTCTATACTAATAGTTTCTTCTCTTGCACTTCATACTCATGAAACTCTTCTGGCTACTTGCTTTCCTAGTCATCTTTGATCTTTCAAAACTTAAATGCAACTTTTTTTTTCTCTCATATTCTTTCACACTCAATAACCTCCTTGCATCCTAGTGCCTTTATTGCCTTGCTTAAGGGTGAAATGTTTAAAAAGAAAAAAAAAGAAGAAAATTGGGACTCTAATCCAGGTAAATCAATGAAAGACCAAGTTTAATTTATATGACAGCTGACTAGTAAATATCAGAATTGGTCTAAAATGTTAAACTAGTAACCAAAGAAAATAACAAATGATTAGATTATATGAATTAAAAAAGAAAAACTGAATAACTAAGCATGCCTATCATCAACCAACTTAATGAATAAAAACTGCAAAGATCTTTTGTGGCTTTGAAATGGTAATATCAATGTAAAGGGAAAAATGACAGTAATGAAACCTGGTAGTTTTCATCACTCCTGTTTTAATATACAGACATAGTAGTTATTTCACAAGATAATAAAAAGCTTTCAGGTGTTTAAAATATATCAAGCCTTCTCAATCTTGAAAGTTATCTTGAATACATCATTAAACAATCTTCTCAAATATTATATCAGTGCAAACCCTTCAAAAGAAAATTATGATTTAATTTTTATAAAAGTTTTTTGCATTTTAAATGTTCATCTCTAATTGGCTAGTTTTAATAAGTTTTTATATTCAACTTGACAATACTATGACCCAGAGGGTCAGCCTTCAAGAGATAATTATAATGAAAAAAAGGTTATCAAATTTACTCCCTCCCACTACATTCTGTGTAAAAGGGAAATTATTTATTTATTTATTTTTTACAGTCAGATTTTTTATTGTTTGATTAATGGCATATCAACTCTTTATGGGTCATTTAATGCTGAAATTTAATTTTCTTAGTATCTTGAGTAATTTTTTTTACAAAAATCTTTTTCTGATAATTATTTTTTATTTTTTTAAAACCTATACTTTCAGTTTTTTGGGAGTTCACTATTTGCCTATAGCTGGGACCCTAACAAGTGCTACCACCCCTGGGTCAGAGTGGACCTGGGAACAACAGCAATCAAGAGGTGGTTCCACACTCCTTAAAACCTCCTGATCAGAGGCCTTGCTGCCAGATGTGGTTTATTGTCATACCCAGGATGACAGATTTTTTTTTAATTCATATACTAATAAGCAAATGAATGAATAAGAAATTGGTTCAGTTCAATTTGAGTTTTATACTCCATTAGAGTCATAAAGACACCACAAGTACTGCAGCTGTAGTTGCGCATCTTGGGAAAGATAGCCTGACAGAGGCCTTCTCTCTTCTTTCTGGTTCTGAAATTTTTCCTTCTCCTTGGTTGGTTGAGAGAACCTAGTCTGCCTTGCTATTTAACCCATAGAAGATGGATTCAAGCCTTTTCTTAGGACACTAGCAAAAAGTGAACAAAACAGAACTGAGTGGGGATTGAACTCAGTCAAATTCACTTTCTATACCAATAACCACTAAACTATCCGTACCTATAAAAGATACCTATATACCTATAAAAGATAGTACTGTATAATTAGCATTTAATAGCTATCTCCCTTGAAAATTTATTTTATTTATCTTTGAGTTTCAAATCAACAAGTCAGGATAATTATTCTTTTCTAGAGAAAAATCCACCAGGAACATCCTTATTCCAACCACCCCTTTTTATTAAATGTTCAGAAAATTCCTTCCCATCCCTTAACTTAGTCTATAAGCATTCTAGGACAAAGTGTTTCATTGATGAAATTTTGGTAATCTTAGACCTTTGCGTTCAAGAAAAAGATTGTCAAACAGACATTTTTTCTGTTGACACTGCTATTATTATAACTACCTTTACTCCTCAGCAATGTTTATTGTTTTAAAAAGCAAAGATTAGAATTGTAATAAAACCTAAACATATGATAAATGTGAATTTACAATGAAAATATTAAACACTATTTATTTATTGGATTTATTGATTGAAGATCAAAGTTTGCCAATTTTTTTTTTTTTTTAAATTCAGCTATTCCTTTTATTCCAAACACCCCATCTATTTAAAATGAAAGTGTAGATAGATAGCGATACAAATCTTGCACTCAGATAAACAAAATTCAACTTTTAAATATTGTGTTAATGTTCTATTTTCTTTTTGTACAAAATATATCACTTTGTAATTTACTTCTACCCATCTGATTAAAGAAGAATTTTAAAAATTCTCAAAATTAGTATAGGGATAATGATGATTGATAGTGTGCAAAAGGGATTAATAAGTGAAGTAGTGAAAGAAAGAAAGCATTTTCAACTAAACTACTAATGATACCAGCACATGCATTGCTCAGAAAATAGAAATGATAAGTGTAAAATAAGTAGCATTTAGTAAAATTACAAAATTTCTTGTACCTTCATCATCAGTCTCGTCCTATAAAAATAAAAGGAAAATAAACTTTCATTGAGAAACTCAAAAAAAATTTTTAAAAAGATCAAATGAATATTATGGATTATCATCTTCATAAAAATTAAATATATAATACTTCCAAACTTTTTCCATCATACATTTATAATGTAAATAAATGACAAAACTATTGGTAGTGGAAACTTGTTACTTTTTGTTAAAAAAATTAAGGTTGTCATTATTTACACAAATATTATAAAACTCTTATGGCTAAAAAAGATAATAATGTTAATAATAATTTAGGTAGATTAAAGCCTAACACAGTAAAGAGTTATTATTTTATTTATCTATTTTTTTGGTAGGACACTAATAAAAAAAAAAAAAAAAAAATAAAATAAAATAAAAAGATAATGATAATAAGGCATACTCATCTACTATAACAACCTTGGTAACAAGTTAGTCTGGTTGACCATTACTATTAAATAGTGAGTTCAATCCTAATGGGTGTCTTTTACTTTGGCCTTGTGCCAAACTAAGCCAAGCTTAGTAAATAAGAGTATTATTTGACTGCACAATAATAACAAAGCCCTATAACGACCTCTGAGTTAAACATGTATTTTTTTGCTGTTATGGTTAGGAAAAAAGTGTGTCTCTCTATCTGAAAAGAAATGATACAAAAAGTGAAACAGGAAAAAGAAAGATGGATTCCACTGTTAACTTATTATTAAAACTTTATTTTCATGCTAATAAATTAATCATATATTAAGTTTAATTATTTTGCAATAGGAAATATATTTTCAAGTAATAAATATACATTGTTTTTCTTTTATCTTTTTTTTTTGGTCAGGTAATGGTAATAATAGCCATTACCTTACGTGAAAAAATTTGGTATTCATTGACCAAGCATTCTCTTAAACTGATTCTGTATTTAATGATTTCTTTCATGTTACCTATATAAGCATAGTAAAAACTTTCATTCTGAAATAAATTAGAATTCAATAAGTGAAGGAGGTTTGATAGTTACACAAACATACACATTTCAAAACAATTAAATGTGTTAGTTTTCCTCATCTTTGTTGTTATTATCACAATGTGGAGAAACAGACATCTGAAAGAATCAATGCATATACTAGGCTATGAAGACCTCCTTAGTAGGCCTAGCATAAAAATAAATATGATATGAGAGTTGTTAATAAAGAAAGAAAGAGAAATGACAGTAAGCAGCAACAGCCACCACAGTAGAAAAAAGAAGCTTTGTTGAGTGCAGTCAAATGTGACAAGTAGCAGAATAACTCATTAGTAGGCAGGTTTAAGGCTCCAAGTTCTTCTCCATTCAGGATTTTCCCATGAGACAATAGTCTAGTGGATTAAAGCATCATTTCATGATTTTGATGACATAGTAACTGTGAGTTCAAATCATCCACTGTGTACTTGGACTGTGGAAATGGGTGGAGCAATAACTAAGCAGTGTTAAATAAGACAGTCAGCAGAACAAGAAAGATCTACCCTCTGTAGATTAAATAAAAGGTTCAGTTTGCTTTGGTTAACAGCATATCACCTCCTTATGGGACATTTAATGCCAAAATTTAATTTTCTTCGGAGCTGTGGTAATTTCTTTTTTACTATTAAAATATATTACTGGAAATTTTGTTTTTATTATTAAAAATCTATTGCTGGCATTTTTATTATAAAAATATAGTTTTTTATACTTTCATAGTGTTTTGATCCCAGTTTGAGGGTTCACTATTTGCTCATGGAACCCTAACAGGTACTACCACCCCGAGTCAAGGAGTACCTGGAAACAACAGCAATTAAGAGGTGGATCCATGCCCCCAAAACCTCTTGATCAAAGGCTTTGGATGCCAGATGTAGTTTATTGTTATACCCAGGATAGCCAGTTTGAAATTCCCTGAATTTTACCCAGATCAACATGACAATGAAGGCTGGAGAGCACAATGGCTGAAATATTGTGATAATAACAACAAAGATGAGGACAATATTCTGCTTATACATAATGTAAACTCTTCATGCCAGAAATTCTGACAGATATTAGTTATACTAACTGAAATATTTGTTTCATTCTTTTCATATCAATATAAAAACAGTCTCATCCTGTTATTTCAGAAATTGCTTTTTCCAATGGTTTTGATTATTTTAACATTTCCCATCCAATAATATTTCAATAAATTTAACAAGTATTTTTAAAAGTCATCTTTTACTATTTACAGATAAATTATTGAAACCTGTTTACATCTGAAAAAGAATTTCACTTTCTAAAAGGAAAATTCAATGTTAGTTATATAAGAAAATATCAAAAGTATTTTGAAATATATATATATATATATATATATATATATATATTCAACCTGAAGCCCATCAGCTGTCAATTTTGATGTTTTCAAATACAAGGTAGAGGAGAACCCCAACTTGAATACTTTCAAAATAGTTAGGATCATTGAAAGATTTCTACTTTTTTTACAGCCGGACAAGACACCAACTATTTTTCCAGCATCTTTAAACATGACCTTCATTAAAAATGAGAATACTTTTGATACAACCCAATAAGTTGCTTTCAATAAAGACTAGTGCCAATAATTAAGTGAAATTGTTATTGTTAATAAAGCTATAAATATTAATACTTACACAGCTTGAAATATCTGCAATATTTTTATGTTATTGATATTACAGCTTACCCTAATGAAATTAATATGTAGCAACCAGTTCTCCCTTTCAAGTTATGGAGAGAATATATAGATAGTAAAACATGGGTTTAATGTTTTCCAACTACAAAGAGAATAAAGATTTCATTTCAAAAATTAAAAGATGTCCAGTTTTAGTTTGCCACCAATATAAACAACTACAATTAGAATTTGTTACAATTTTGATTTCACATGCATTCATATTTACTTATATTTTTGTTTTCAGCTGTAAAAAATGGCATTAGTTATTAAAAATGTAAAAGGTATCTAATACACAAAATGACTACTTTTTTTTGACAATATCTTTTAGTATCAGAAAATGTGCTGGTGCTTCCTCAACTGATGGAGTGAAAATATAGAAACACCAATCAGAATACACTTTGTTTCTAGTTTAAAATAACCAAAGAGAAAGTAAAAATTAGTGCAAACATGCAGTATACAAAATTTTCACTAGTCAAAAGGCTTCCCTTTGCAGGAAACTAATTTTTTAAATAATTTTCCCTATGATATTTTCAATCTCCATTGTTAAATGGTTATGGCTGAAATTATTAAAAACCTTTCAAAAGATCTCAAGGTTTTTGTTGAATTAATAAGTGAGAAATGAATTTAGTTTAACTGGATGGCAAAACTATCCCATTAACCACCATACTAAAATAATTTCTTTAAGTATTTACACTATTTACATTGTTATTGTCCTAATCTTTATTGCTATATTGATGATGTTTCAGCCATTGTACACTCCAGCCTTCTTCAGGTGATATTTGTGGGAATTTTGAACCAAACCATTTATTTAGTCTGCAGGGGTATAATGTTCTAATTCCATGTGCCATGCCTCTAGATATCTCAGTTTTAGTTAATTCCCCTTGATAACTCAACTCTCTTCTGTGGCCAGGATTTGAACATCGAACTCTTTGGGTCAAGTTACTTTTGGATCAATCAACCAATGTTTTTATCCACTGGGGAGATAGGGACATTAGTGAGTGAATTTTTGGGACTTATAATCCTAATGTTTCAGTAACTGTTTTTTACCAGAGCTCATATTACAATTTTTTGTTATTGATATTTTTTCTAGCTCTCTGTATTACTAGTTCCCATACTGAATTCATGTCTATGCTTGGCTGGCTTAGGAGATTTTTGTAGCCTGACATATGTACTGATTCCTTAAGTTTTCATATTTTCCTGTTCTCTGTTTATTTTTTCAATCTCATCCTACGGTGGAGTGTGTCTACACATATGGTCAGCCATGCCTGATTTTTCTATTTCCCTTCATGTTACAGCCTTACAATGTTCCTGCAGTCTTATCTTAAAGGGTGGCCTGTTTCTCTTTTATATTTCTTGCCACAACTGCATGGGATAGTGTACACACAGTCCTTAATCATGTTCTTCTTTACGGGTGGTCTTACTCAGAACAGAAGTCTGCATAGTCTTGAAACATCATGAATATGGCAATAAAGATGAGGACAACAGTCCAAATAATGTAAATAGTTACAATACAATTTCAGAAATATAGAAAAATTTCTTTAAGTTATTAAAATCTATTAAAATAAAGCCAGTAATTGTTTGCTTCTATACATCACATTTTTTTTTTATGCAACATTGCAAAAAGCACCCTAAATGCATGCATCCATGCCAACTTATTTCTAGAAATAGAAAAAAAGATAAAAAAAATACCAGCAGAAGTGTCAGTGTCTATGTGGTTAATAACACAGAAACTAAAACTGGTGAGCAAAGTGAAAAAGGATTTTCCTTTTTTTTTTTTTTTTTAGTAGAAAATTAAAATAAAAATTGAAAGCATAGAATTTCATTTTAGGTCCTATGAAAATTTTTATAATTGTAAAATAGACTCATTTTCTTAATTTCTTGGAAAAAAGACATCAATGAGGAACGAAAAGGGGTAAACAGCTATGATAAAATCTAATAAAAGAGAATCAGCTAATCAGTTATTGCTTGTCACTCAATCGAGGAAAGTAAAATTTTTGGGCACAACCGACTAATTTTTTAATTTTTTTTTAGTCGCTGTGTACAAAAATTTAATTTTGTTTGAATGAGTTTTTATGAGTAAGGAGCAATAACAGGTTAACTTGTTCTATTATTCCCTTTTATTATTCTTTTTCTAATTTTGTATTTGATAACTACAGTAGTTGTTTTTTCCGTTTTGGTCCCCTTTTAATTATGTCCCATCTTCTTGCTATAAATGAATATTGTACTTCTAAGATCTTCAATTGGAAGCAATAATTCTGATAGAATCAACATTCCTGGACTAACTAAATTGACTGACTGATTTGTTTGTTTTCTATGACTTATAACAACCCATTGCAGGTTATTTAAAGCCAGAAAATATTTCTAGACTGTAAGAATTTTTTTTTAGAGATAATAATAGTTTTGTGATACAAGTCTTACTAATTAACCCATACCTATTTGCGTATAAGTCAATATAACGAACCCAACAGGAATTGGAACTCATTATCCATTAAACCATCTGCACATCCAAGCTTACAGCACTTAGTATTCTCAAGTGGTCACTCATCTAGGTACTGACCAGACTCAACATTGCTTAACTGGTGATCGTACAGGAATTGGTGTTTCAACATGATGTGGTCATAAGCCTAGACTAACTAAAGATTGTCAGCATCTTTTTAAAGCAAACAATGCAAAATGTAGTGAGCTCATGTGATTGTATTTAATTTAGATATTTAGAGATCTGAACAAGGCTAGGTACTTCTGCTAGTATCATGTTTTCAAAGTTTATAACAAATCAACACAAAGATAAATTCAGTTAGAATTGTTAACAACAAAAAAAAGAAGCAAAAAATGACATGCAGAAAAAATTAGAAGCTGAAAAGATTAATTTAGAAACAAGAAAGATTTCTTTTTTATATTAAACAAAAGAAAAGTTAAAAAAAGATACAAGAGAGAAAGTGATGTGAAATCCGTGGAAAATAGACCCAAGCTAAATTGACAACAAATGGTACTTGCATTGTTATCAGCATCTTCTTCATTAGCAAGGAAAGTATAAGAAGAACTGAAAAAGAAAAATCAACAATCCAACATGAATTTTGTGATTTTAAGCCAGTGTTGGCCAAATTAAAATCACTACTAAGTTCATCAATGTTAAACTTCGTTGGTTAATTTGATCTTCATTTGGTCGAATTAAATGAACAGGATAAAAAAAAGAGGGAAAAATATATTAAAATAGAAATGAACCGACCATCAAAATAATGTTATATTCAGTCATTGCTGTACATTTGGGCAATCATCTCTTTCAATTCATGACTCACTAGGCAGAAGATTTTCCCACAGAGTAAATATTTCTGAAAATGTGTACTTGTGTTTAATATGATCCCCACACTTTTTTTACCTCTAATTTTGGTTCAAAGTTTCTCATATTATACACAAGAAAATATGGTAAACCTAGACTTGTTATTGCCTGTTTGCTTGGACATTCACATTTTATGATGTCATGATGCATTTTAAATATTATCAACTCATCAAAATAAAATTTTCAAAAAGTTGGCAAAAATCAGTTGACAGGGTTTAAATTGAATTGACAATGAATCATGTTAGGAAAATAAATACACAAGTTGATAAGGCAAAAAAATGAATTCAGCTTATTGAGCAAAGAACTTAAATAAACAAAATCTGTTACAGAAGAGGCACAACATCCATCTTATATAACTTTATTTACATTTTTAAAAACTCTAATAAACTGCTGACATATGAAAAAGCTTTATATAGAGTTGAGGCCAAAAGTTTACAGAGCAAAAAAATGTTCAATTTTATTTACATCTTTAAATGCTTTTGTGAAATATGCATAGTAAACAGACTGTTGTGTCCATAAAGATACATAAATAAAAATTAATTATACTGTCATGTCCATAAAAATTAAATAAAATTGAATTATAGTGCCCAAAATAATTATAACAGTTATAATTATCATTAATTCACTCATTCTAAACCAATGAGAATTGACCCCATTTTTTTTCTCTACACAAACACAACATTCTATTGGACAGGTTATTAATATGTGCATCAATGAAAATTTTGTCTCTTTTTTTCTTTTCAGGCCATAATAGTAACCTTTATGTTTTAGTACTCAACAAAAATTCAAGGTAAGAGAACCCCAGACACTTCTTGTATTTTTCCAACTCAATTATCTGGACACTCATAATGCACATCTATAAAAAAAAAAACATACGAGAAAGACTGTATGCACTTTTTTCATTCTTTATCTTATCATTCCACTGGATTTCATTCCATATTTGATGTACATTTCACCCCAAACTCAATTTTATCCAGTATCATTTCTTTTCTCTTTCATTTCTCCAACACCACATAACCAGATAATAAATAATACTCATTTTGTTGTTTCCACATCTTGCTGTTCCTCATTTTTACAAATATTTTGTATACATAAGTGTTAGGAGGGTATAATTATTTACTCAGATTTATAAGTCCCCTACAAGATATACAATGTCAAAAAGAAGACAATTTAAATATGATTAGCTCAAGGTTTACTATAGAAACAAAAAATGATATTTAGATAATATTTTAGGAACCAAAAGTATTCTACATGAAATAAATATTTTATTTTCAGGCTTAAGTAAAATGTGTGTATAAAAGATAGCAAAAAGTAATGAAATATTATTTTCTGGTATATTTTATCAACATATTTCTCTACTGAAATGTTTTACTTTGATTTTTCTTGTATTTGTCTTTCAAAATGTATTACTCTCATCAGATTTTTAAATGATATTTCTATCATATGCCTATCAATCTAATGCCTATGTATGTTTTGTTCAAATTATATTTTCAAATATTTGTATGTAAAATGAATGTGTATTGCATTCTAATTTATTAGTTAATACTTTAAATCATAGGTCTAGTTTATTAGGTGCATTTCCATTTAACCCATTAGCATGCAGTATTAATTATAAAAATTATAAAAAAAATTTGGCATTAATTATAAGTTTACTAAAAATCTGGTATCACAGTTACAAAAAATTCACTATTGATTATAAATTCATAAAAAGCCGATATTAATCATGTTTATATAAAATCCAGTATTTTAAGTTTTTACCAATAACTCATTAATGCTGACTGTCCTAAAAATGGAACAGTGGATATTAATTGATTAAACTATATATTTGGAACTAACAAAAAATGAATATACCCACAGACATGACAAGGTAGCGACCTATGTGCACTGGAAGATATGCAAAAAGCACAGAATGGAAACCACTGAGAGATGGTATGAGCAACAACCAGACACAGTTACCCAGAATAACGATGTAACTATCCTCTGGGACATGTCAATTAAATCTGACAGAGAAATAGAAGCCAACAGACCTGATATTGTCATAAAAGTCAAGAAATTCAGGAAGTGTATGACACAGCAGTACCACCATGAAAATTATCGAGAAATTTGTCCAAGTGCCTGGAGATCGAGATTAACAGGATGTGGGGAATGAAGACTGAGACTGTCATATCAATAGTAATCAGAGATCTGTGCCTCGTGAGAAAAGGAATGGACAATTTTACTAACAGTGTCCCAGTTAACATCAACATACAAGTCGCCCAGAAGATTGCCCTACTAGGAACATCCTATATACTAAGAAAAGTGCTCTCAATTAAATGACAATTCTCCTATAGAGTCTAAGGACCACAGGATAGAAAGCAGGAAACATAACACATATAAATGATAATAATAATAATGTGTATAATATTTAATGGGTGTATAGACAAATGGTTAACATATTAGCATTCTAATAATGAGACCAGGGTTCAAATCTCAGCCTTGAGCACCATTGGTGGAAAAGTGTCTAAAAACCCTAACCACTGATTGCTCTAAGCCTTTAAATTGGGCAGCTAAAACTGTTCAGAAGCCATCGATGGCTATGCTTGCACAATAATTGTGGAGCTAAGTAATTTTACTGCCACTATTCAACTGCGACCTGTCTATATTGTTAAAACAATGAGACTTCACATCATATATAAGTTAACATTGTGCAAATAAAGGAATATGCAAACCACAAAAAGAAGAATGTTTACAAATTATGGCCATCTCTTTAAATTTTTAATAGCTTTTAGATCGATCAGTTTGACATCGAAGATGTTAAATACATAACATTTGGGATCAAGTATTATCGAATGTTTTAAAAGAAACACAGCATGTAAAACTTTTTGACTTTTTAAGTGCTATCAGAGTGAAAATCACATGATAGTTTTTAAGAAAAAAACAAATGACCAAAAAGGAAAGACATGACTGCATTTATATTTGTATCATTAGAGACTGAAATTTATTGAGTTGGAAATGGAATTTACAAATGACATTGGTTTCTAAATAATCTATTCTATAATTTAGAAAACAATCTGACTTTATACAGTATAGTAAGACATTAGCTAGATAAATATGGCCCCTAATTATTTATGTCATGTACATTGTTTGGACTGTTGTCCTCATCTTTATTGCCATATTCACTGTATGCTCTAGCTTTTAATGATTGGAATTTAGTGATTGGAATCTTTAACCAAACCCTTTATTTCATCTACTGGGGTATATTGTTCTAGTTCCATGTGTCATGCCTCTTCCAGGTGTCTCAGTTATCTCCCTTTAACTCAACTCTCCAAGTTTTTGTTCACCATTGCACTAGCCAGATATTGAACTCACAAATCTTTGGGTCAAGTCACTGGATCCCATCAATGCTTTTATCCACTGGGCAATGTGTCCTTGAGGAAGAAGGCCAGAGCATACAATGACTGAAATGTCATGAGTATAGCAATAAAGATGAGGACAACAGTCTGAACAATATAAATAATGTAAATAATTACAATACCTCATCTCAGAAATATAGACAGATATGGACACTAATGTCTTACTATTATGTGGAAGGTATTTCTTCCATACACTGTATATTGATCAGTCATGCAGCCTGATCTCCCCAAGTTTATATTATTGCATCAAGCGGCATTACTCCACACAATATGTAGCACATTACTGTAATAACAGACTTTTTAAGTAGTTAGATTAGGTTGCTAATAGATTGCTTATTATTTTTTGCTTTAGTTTTCTTGTTTAAAAATCAGAAATCTTTCTTACATATGACAATTCAGCTAAGTCTATAAATATAGATATAGCTTCTGCAGAAAATAATAAGCAATGCAACTGAAGAATTATTTAAATTATTGCCATCATTTTTCATCAGTGAACTAGAATTTAAATAAATGTTAGTGTTCGTTACTATATAATGAATAATTGCCCATATGTCCATATAATTCAAAGGAGCTTTTAAAAAAAGGAATGATCAACTCAAAAAAAATATCAAGAACTGGAATAATACCCAATCTAAAAAAAATATAAGCATGACATTGTAATTGTATGCACATTGTGTCAACAAAAAAAATGATATTACTATTATCTTATGCCCATTGATTATAAATAGTTCTAGCCTCAGGAATTAAATATAGAAAAATGTTCAAAATATAGAACTTAAAAAAATGGCATTAATTGAGTTGATAACTACAGTTCAAATGCATATTGTTTATTCTTGGTAATAATTTTCAAAGAAATTTGATTATATTTTTTTAATAAAACACATATACAGACATGCACAACAAAATCAGATTCTAACTGACTATAACTAATGCATTCAACCACACTCAAATCCCTCTCAACAATAATTCATAAAAAATTTCATCAAGTGTATTTTCAAATTTCTTCAACTGTTACTACTACTGACCTGTTCTTGGCTGAATGTACTTCCAAAAATCTGATCCAATGACTAAACATTTTTTGGTTGGTTGGGCCTAGAACTTTTCAGCACCTCCTCATACTTTGGTAGTATTAGTACCAGCATCAGTTTTTTTTTAATGCAAACTCAAAAATACAAGCAAATGATTCTTGTTTCATTTAGATCCAGCCAAAACATACAATAAATAAAGGTTTTCCCAGGATATACAACACAAATAAGACAATATTTTGTCTTTGGCAGATAAGGCTGAATTTTTTAAATAAAACCGGATATTGAAGTCTGCACGTGAAAAGATTACAAAAGCAAGAAAAAAACAAGGTCTAATTACATTAGATTCTTCAACAATATAGAACAAAGAACAAATGTCTACTTAAACTAATCAACTTTGATCAAATCATTAATCCAACAGTATAGAGGTCCAATGATGTTGAATGATTGTTTTTTACAGCTTATCAACCTTTTGCAGGTTATTTAAAGCCAGAAAAGATTATGAATTTTTTGGAGAAAATAATTTACTGATACAAGTCTTACTAATTAACCTATAGCTGAGGGGGGAAAAGATGTGGATTCATGCCTTTCCCAAGGGTATTTGCACATAAATGAATATAATGAACCCATCTCAAATTGGAACTTGGCTCTCTGATTTACAACTCCAAGCCATTAGCCATTACACCACCCACACATCCAAGCTTACAGCTCTGGTATTCCTAAGCGATCACCCATCTAGGTACTGACCAGGTTCCCTGTCCTTAACTTTGGTGTTTCCGATATGTTGAATGTGTGACTGTTGTCTTTGACAGTGTATGATAAATCATTATAATAGAAATGGTTAAAATGTTCGCATTCTAACCATGAGACTCAGGTTCGAATCTCAACATGGCCAATTTGTCATGGTGGTGATATCTTGATAATATTGGCTTGGGGAGATGATTCCAGCATGTGGCACCATTGGGAAGCACCTGAAAACTATGCCATGGTTTAACCCAAGCTTTATGAGGGAAATTGGAAGCCATCATGTTTGTACTGGCAGAAAATCACAAGTCACTTTCTCCCAAAAAATGTAACTACAGTCCACTCAGCATAGTTGCAGTATTAACCACAGGTTAGCTCTGTGGTAGTTAAACAAACACAAACATACATGAGCAGGTGCCTGCAACAGGGATTAGTTAGCCACCTTAGGAAACAAATTGTCAGCCAATATAGAAAAAAAATCAACAGTTATATAAAAATATAAATTATAAATAATAATATGGTAACAAAGTCTAAACTTACTTTCCAAATCTTTCTCCATCAGTAATTGTTTCAGGTAAATCTTTTCCAAGTGTTTCAGGTAAATATAAAGAGAGTCCTCCGGCAATTAATGACAAAACTCCATATAAAAGCATTGGAAAACCAGTACCAAGTGGTCCACTGCTGATGAGATGTCCCTGTAACCAATTAAACAGGAGTTAATTACATTAATTGTAATTAATTTGTTTTAATTGCAAATGTCATAAAATATCTTCTGTTTTATAAGAATGTGCTCCTCCTTCCCAAGGATCATTTCAATATCAGAATATATATAAGAATATGAGTTTATATACTTATTTGTCAAGCAGTCTGATCTCCTGTTCTTAGTAGGGAGATATTCCATCATAAAAGACAGCATTACTAGACCACAATAAGTAAACAGGCTTTGTGTTACCATAACAATGTTGTAACCTAAAGAGGGTTGCTGAATGAGGTATAACCAAAATTGAGGTTGGAAATGAAATAGTAATCTTTATAACATCAACAAAATACAATACTCGCCAACAGTGTGAAGTAGGTAAACCACTGCTAGTAGTGAACTACTTAGTATATTACCCCCACTTACAATAGTGTCCAACATATTTATGAGGATTGGGACATGCCCATTAGTGCTCATAGGTACAGTATATAGCACAACAGAATATCATATTTGTAAATAGTGGTGATCAGTCTGCTAGTATATACTTTTTATTTCTTTGGTCAATTATTTACTATTTATAATGTATTAGTTTAAGTAATTTGAGCATATTAGCTTACACATGCCATCCAAAAATTAAAGCAATATTAAAGTAAATTTTCAATTTATATACACACACACAATATATATATTGTCTGACGATCGCTAAAGCGTGAAACCCAGGGTCACAAACTCACATCTATCCAACCAAAATATATATATATATATATATATATATATATATATATATATATATATATAAATATAAATTTCAAGAGGATAGAATCCAAGTAGAGCTCAATGTCCAAGACAGAGCAAGAATATAATATAAAAGGCTCAAACACTAATATTCCATGGTTATAATTTATTACATTGGAATCATAATCACAATCCAATTCATCAAACCTACAAATTCAAAAAGAAATTGGAAAATATAACTACGGGTCATATATATATATTTATATATTTTAGGAATAGATTTTTCATTTATTAATCCGACATATTTTTATTTTAGCGCTTAAACGTTTTTTTTAGTGGATACCCATATTTAAGTAAATGCTCTGTTTATTTATTAAACAGTATATTTATTTATTTACTTATTTATTTCCATCTACTGGCCTGAATGTTTGAGAAATCTTATTAGAAAAATATGCGTTCTTCGGCAGGATTCAAATTTGCATTACCTTTCAGGAAACACATGCTTTAACCAGTCAGCTACAAAGAACCTACTGTTGAAACAAAGCCCAAATGTAACATTTGCCTTGATAAAGTCTCTCAGAGGAAGAAACGCATTGGCTAAGTTTTCCTTTTGTCATTATTCATATTGTACTTTTTACAGGTATACTCTATCTGAAATTTTTACACACACACACACGTATATATAATACAAATAGAATTTGTCACTTAGCTAATTGATGTTATATTCATCAGCTTAACTCCAGAATTTCATAATCAAACTTTTGAGTAATTGTTTGGTCCACTCATTAGGTTTCAGCAATTCACTTCCAGTTTTCTCATTTTTTGTTATCTTTATTTGATGCATTTAATTGATGCACTAGTTACTGGTCCTAAGTTGATGTTTTTACCTCTATTTGTGTGTGTGTGTGTGTGTGTGTGTGTGTGGTGGGGGGGTCACATATATCAAATGTTTTAATTATCCTTTTCATCATTTTATTGTCTCCTTATACACATTCCCTATTGCTTTTCCTTCTTTTTTTCTCTTTCCACGCTAAGCGTGTTTATATATATATATATATATATATATATATATATAAAATGAAAAAAACAGACCACTTTAAGGTACCATTACAATAATTTATTTCACCAAAATTCTTTTTGAAGGACTCCGGATCATCAGGTAACACTTCCAACAACGAAATGAAAGGAAAAATGGGATTAGAAATTGATGGGTAGTGTCATTTTTGTAATTTAACAGGGAGGGTGATCAACGAGACAAGGTATAGTATAGAGAGGGGTAAATTTCATATTTCTCTTAAGCATGTTTTATATTGGGGTAGGAGGAGTGACCTAATCGTGACCTATTTAGATGGTTAACTTAACGGAAATGATATATAGGAATGGGAGGGTAGTGGGGGAAAAGAAAAGGAAAAATGGAAAGGAGAGAGGAGACAGACAAGTAATACAGATATATTTAAATGAGTGTTACGGCAAAGAGAGAGGGGGAGAAGGAAGTGAATCGAAAAGGCTGTAATTTTGTTTTAACAAAATTATGTAAAATATAGATTTCAATGCTTGATAGAAATTTAGATGTCTAAAAAATGATGAATGTTATCAATTTAAACATTTAGTTTTTTAAGTAAATAGTTTAGGGACTTAATATAAGTTAACTACTATTTTTATTAGCACATTTATCGAGAACATATTAAAGAAATATTTAAAATTATAATAGTTTATTTACCCGACCAATTGTACTTTCATAATATTGTAAAAAAATTTTGGTAACAATAACATCTATATTAGTTTTACTTTAAATCTAATTTATGAATGCAATTTTTCTTTATTATTATATGGGTAAACTTAATTAAGGTTTAGGTTTCATTATTTAATAACATTTGAGGGTAATATTAAAGATTTTTTTCTTCTTATATGTATCTCACAAAAACATATTCATGCAAATCCACATATACATACGTCCATTTACATGTGCAAATACACACAGACACACATGCAACAATATACACAAATGTTCATCCATCTTCATACATAAATTACATATACACACATACATTTCTCAATCATTACCTATATTTTAACGTTTGAAATTTATTTAGATTTTAGTTTGATTTTATAGTTAAAGTTTAACTTTAGGTGACTTCTGAAGTGCTTCATTATTAAAGGGATTTCGTTAATATTATTATTACTATTAATAGTTAAAGAGTGGTATATTTAAAATTATCAATTTTAAGATGGAACTCCCTTAAGAAGATAAAAATACACTCTCCAAAATTTAATTATAGAACATTAAAAGAGAAAAAGCAATTTTAAAATACAAAGAGAATGACCCAAGTACTTCCATTTAAAAATATTCCATACATATATAGACACATACATATATATATATATATATATATATATATATCCATATATATCTATTAATAATCTATCTAATTATCCATCCATCTACATATACATATATACATATAGGTATACTCATATATGTATATACACCCTTATATACAATACAACAATATATACACATACACACACATATATACATAAATACCTACATACCTACACATGATTATATACAAAAAAAGCATATAAAAAAATTCTACCCATAACTATCCACACATGCATATGTATTTATATTACAATGTTATACATCTAATCACAAATATTAATTCTAAGGTATATACATCTACGTACATACACAGATTACAAGTAGATTAATATTCAAAATACTACACATATATAAATATATGTATACATATATCCGTACATACATACACAAAATACATACACATACACCTATACACATTCACAAACACACGCCTTAAACACACATTAATATTAGCTCTGGATTCACATTGAGCTCTCAGGATTTCATCCTCCTTGGAATTACCCATTCAGTTTACCAAGTTCTTCATAACTTAATATATATATATATATATATATATATATATATATATATATATATATATATATACTTTTAAGGTATGCAATATTTATGTATTAAGGTACTCAATATCAGGAATAGACCATATGTAAATATAAAAGTGAGATCAACACCCAGCTACAACAAGCTGTTTCATGCTTAAGCACAATTCTGAGACCATTAATTACTTGACAATTGCATTTAAGCATGAAACAGATTGTCGCCACTGGGTGTTGACCTCAATAAATAAGCTGTATATCAATGTGTTATTTCTTAACAAAATGTTAAAATATACATCTTTAATAACCATTTTTGATAGTCTAATAAAGCAAGAAAATTACAAAATTGAATTCAATCAAACAGCAACATTTATTATTGTTGTCAAAATACAACTTTAGCGATTGCAATCTTACCAAATCTACAGTATAAGGAGCAACAATGCTGCCTATTCGTGCAGCACAAGAACTTGCTCCAACACCAGCATTTCGAACAACTGTTGGGAAAAGTTCAGTTGTAAAAATGTAGATGATAGTAAACCCAGCAGAGGCTCCAAATTTCCCGATCATTGCTGCTGTCACAGAAATCCATTGCAAGTCTGGAAAAAGGAAAAAAAAAAAGAAATAATCAAAATATATACAGTTTAAAAGAATATATAAACAAACAAAAATGCTTGTGTGTTCAAAAAAAAAAACCTTTCATGAAGCCAATGTAAATTTAACTCTCAAGAATGTAACAATTGTAAATTGCAACAATTATATTTAAATGTCTGACCTTTTCTCTATGACCTTTAGTGACCACTAGTTGAAAAATAGGTTCTAGACAATTTTGATAAGGTTGAGATTGGAAAGCCACAAGTTAATAGATACATGGTGTGTATTTCAACTCACTAAGTATTATGTTTAATTTATATATACAGTTGATTCCAGTTGAAATATTTATTGGTTAGGTTTGGTTTATTTTGTTTAACGGCATATCAACCTCAATGGGTTATTTAATGCTCACAACATTTTTAGGATAGATTTGTATGAATAGAGTATGTATTCTTTGGTTTAGATCAGTTTGGCTTATTTTGTTTTACAGCAATATCAACCTCAATGGGTTATTTAATGCTGACAAAAATTTTTATTGCTGGTAATATTTTGTTTTGTCAAAAATCTGTTGCTGGTAATATGTTTCCTTCAAAATTGTATTGCTGGTAATAATTTTTTTCAAAAAAAAATATTGCTGATAATAGTTAACTATTTGCCCATAGCTGGGACCCTAACAGGTGCTACCACCCCGGGTCAGGGTGGACCTGGGAACACCAGCAATTAAAAGGTGGTTCCATGCTCCTCAAAACCTCCTGATCAGAGGCCTTGCTGCTGGACGTAGTTTAACATCTTACCCAGGACGCGGATGTAGTTTAACATCTTACCCAGGATGCGAGATATTTATTGGAACTAGTCTCTGAAAAAATAATAAATAAAATAAAAAAAAAACAAGTCAAGTATAAATGGAATAATTTCCTTCACTTATTTGAACCATAAAGTCAATTGTGTTGGGAATTTCCTACACCATGTGTGTTTTTTTTTTTAAAATAGCTCTGTTCAACATGGCTGAACAACCTGTTAATGAAACAGCCGTCATACTAAACTTGCCAGTATGCTACCAATGTACGTGTGGTTCACACAGCTGGAAGAAATTTTCCAAGTGAAAAGAATCCATTCACAGATGGCACGCTACGCATATGTCGTAGAGAAACTACCACCAGAAATCGCTTCAGACATACTGGATCATTAGACACTGTACCAACACACAATCCTTTTGATACACTAAAAGAAGCTATAATATATCGAACTGGCAAATCGCAAGAGCGTCATCTGAACGACTTATTTAATACACTACAGCTAGGTGACAACAAACCTGCACAATTATTATGAAAAATGAGAAACTTTCTTGGAAAACATACAATGTCTGATTCATTGTTCCACAAACTTTGGCTCGATAAGCTACCATCCCAAACCACACAAATCCTAGCTACACTTCCCAATGATTTAGATTTGATCAAGATTGCTGAAATAGCAGATAAAATAAATGATGTCACGATAATCAATAGTGTCGATGCTCAAACATCACACGATATAACGATGGAGGACATGATTTATAAATTGCAACAGCAGATCAACAAGTTGTCTACGCAAATGGAGCGCCTATGCAGAGAACCAGCTCACAACTTATACAAGTCCCGATGTCGTTCTCACTCCACCTCTCGTTAAAGGAAGGCTACAATATGCTGGTACCACCACAAATTTGGCAACTCAGCAAAAAAAATGTACTAAGCCGTGTAATTTCAAACCACAAACAGATTTTACAACAGGCCAGAAGGTGGGAAACACCAGCCCCAGCAGCAAGTGAAGGCGGCGTCTGCTGTTGGGGGTCAGACATATAACCATCTGTTCTACATTAAAGACAAGAACTCAAATTAATCATTCCTCATTGGCTCTTTACAGTAGCGGACGTAAAATTCCCCATTTTTGGTGCCAATTTTCTAACACACTATAAATTAATAGTTGACTTGTCGAAACATCTATTGTCTGATAATACGGCGAAGCTTAAAAATTATGGTGTTATTTCCACCCTCACTTCCACTAAGCTATGCATCACTGTTCCAGCGGATAATCCACTCCAAGACATCTTAGATCAATTTCCATCACTTATCCGCCCATTTACTTATACAGAGACAGTCAAACACCACACTGTCCACAAGATTCACACGTCCGGACCACCAGTGTTTTTCCAAACAAATACAAAATAGCGCGCACAGAATTCCAACATATGCTGGACCTAGGAATTATACGCCCGTTATCAAGCCCTTTTGCGTCTCCACTCCACATGGTCCCTAAGACACAGGAAGGGGCTTGGAGACCCTGCGGTGACTACCATAGGTTGAACACACAGACTGTCCCTAACAAATACCCTGTACCTAATTTGCAGACTTTGCAATTTCTTTACAGGGAGCTAGAGTCTTTACCAAAATAGACCGACACAAAGCATTTTATCAAATCCCCCGTCGCCGAAGAAGATATTCACAAAATGGCAATCACAACTCCTTTTGGCCTATACGAGTTTCTACAAATGCCCTTCGGTTTGCGAAATGCCACGCAATCCTTTCAGCAGTTAATAGATGAAGCACTTCGGGGCTTGCCTAACTCGTTCGCGTATATTGATGACTTACTAATTGCTAGCGCTGACATGGACGATCACAAGCGCAACATAAAACAAGTTTTTGAATGCTTGCACCATTATAGACTAAAAATAATCCCCGAAAAATGTTTATTTGCAGTGCCTAAACTTAATTTCCTCAGTTTTGTTATCGACCACACAGGAATTACACCAGTCCCAGAGAAAGTCAAAGCGATCAGTGAATTCCAACAACCAACCACACTCTAACAACTCCGCTGATACTGGGGATTGATAAATTATTACCATCAATTCATCCCCAAGTGCTCTCAAATCTTAGCACCCCTCACCGACCTGCTCCGTGGTCAGGGGAAGAGAAATGCGACAATAAGACTGACCAACGAGACACTCGCAGCTTTCACAAACTCCAGAGACACCTTGGTGAACTTTACTAAACTGTCTTATTTACACAACGATAGCACAACACATCTCTCATTAACAACAGACGTGTCGTCTGATGCTATCGGAGCTGTTTTTCATCAACATTTGCATGATAGTACAGTGCCTATTTCCTTCTTTTCAGTGAAACTTACCTCTACTCAAAAAAAAAAAAAAAAAAAAAAAAAAGAAAAAAAAAGGTGCTTTTTCCCGCAAACTACTCGCAATGTACTTGCCAATCAAGAACTTCAGACACATATTAGAGAAGGTAGGAACTTTACCGTGTTCACAGACCATAAGCCTTTAACCTTCGTTGAGGAAAATTTGGCTATTGAACTACTTGCGGATAAGCAGAAAAGGGACGTTACTCTGCTCGACTCCCTGAATGATTCGTCACTACAAATTGAGCAACACCCTCTACTCTTCAGCACCAAATCAATTACCTGTGATACAAGAACTCATAATCCTAGACCCCTGGTTCCTGTCAGTATGCAAAAGAAAATTTTTGACAATTTCCATTCACTTTTACACCCTGTAAGGCTACATTCAAAATAATATCGGAACGTTTTGTTTGGCCGAATATGAGCAGCGACATCAAGAACTATACCCAGTGCTGTTTAGTCTGTCAATGAACTAAAGTTCAACGTCATACGAAATCACCACCTGGTAATTTTGCTGTAGCGGACGGCCGTTTCCGTCACTTACACGTCGACTTGGTGGGTCTGTTGCTGGAAGTGCACGGACATCAATATATCCTCACAATTATTGACAGATTTTCAAGATGGCCACTCGTCATTCCCTTACAAAATACAACTGCAGAATCTGTTGCCAAGGCTGTATTCCAACATTGGATATCAATTTTCGGATGCCCTTCAATAGTAACAACGGATTGTGGTCCACAATTCCAATCACAGCTTTTCACAGAATTTATACATCTCCTAGGTGCGAAACACATTTCGACTACTGCATATCACCCCTGTGCCAATGGACTCGTTGAACGTTTCCATCGCCACTTAAAAGCTGCCTTAACCAGTTCCAGCACTGTCAACAAATCATCATGGATGGATAATCTACCCTTGGTAATGTTGTCTGTCCGAGCACAAATAAAGGAAGACCTTAATTGTTCGCCAGCTGACATCATCTTCAGACAACAACTGGTATTACCTGGCCAATTTCTTTCCAACCATCCAATTTCAGACCATATTACGAATTTTGTTAAATACCTACAGAATAGGATATCATCCTTAGCTTTTACACCTACCCAGTTTTCAACAAAGGACATATACGTTCCTTCATCACTACACAAATGTAATTTCATTTTCGTCTGGCAAGATGCTGTTAAGAAACCGCTTACGCCACATTACTCTGGCCCATTTCGCGTCCTTGCCCGGAACGAAAAATTTCATACTATTCAGTTTCCCAATGGCCAATCTAACGTGTCTATAGATTATCTAAAACCTGCCTATATAGAATGCAGAGCAGATTCAAGCCAATCACCAACACCATCAACATCACTGGATGATACACAACAACAACAACAACGACAACAGCAACAGACGAGTAAAGGACAAACAGTGCATTGGCCACAAAAATTTAGACATTATATTACATATTGAAAATTTTGACTATCATCACACTTTCCAATCTGTAGGGGGGTACTTGTAGTGGTTGTTTACATACACCACACCCACAAAATACTCAATAGCCATTGGATAGAAAATAAGCACTATTTTCTATAGGACAATTTATGCATCGCATGAGCCACATCAAATTTTCTGATGTTTACTTTGCCAAACCTGGTTTAGAAAAAAATCAGTGATTGGTTGATTTTTGACCAATAATATAATATAACACTCCTTTTGATATTTTTCCTGCTCTCATTCCTGGAGCGTATTCAGAAAGTAAAAATAACACAAAAATCAAAGAAAAGGACAGTAGTAGAAACAGTAAATCTCCAGAGCTCAACCACGTACATGAATTCTCATTCTTCTACACACAGACACAAAATTACAATTGCACTATGCTCTGAACTGTCTGTCCAAAAAGCCAAGTAACCAACTCAGAATTCTATCATTCTTTTGTACAACTTTCTCATACTTAAACTCAGTTATCACATATTGCTGAACTCTGAACATTTTAAACAAGAAAGTTCTCTTAACACACATATTTACAATCTCACATCAATACAAGAGGGACTACATCCTCTTTCTTAACTTTGTTTCACCAAACACAATTGTTGTACTCGCTTGTTTTTCAATACGTTATTGTTGATTACTGAATAATCTCTTGTTATTCCTTCTTTGTGTTTCTTCGTAAAATTTAAACATGATGTGCTAATCAAAAACGCAACCTTCACCAAAGCCTTCTTAACAATTTTATAACAAATCTCATTAGCACATCACAGGCTCTTCACAGGTTTCATTTCTATAATATCTACAAACTGCTATTATTGTTCTTGTGAAAGGTAGTAATATTGTTTTCTCTGTTGCTTTTTCCAGGTTTGAATTGAAAGTTACTCTTCACCACAACTGGTTGCCCTACAAAGTCTAAGGCAGCCAGTTTGTTCTATTTTACTTCATAGTTGGGGAGAGAGACAGAAGACAGAGTCCACCTTTCTCAGAATCTGAACTCAGTCTGCCAATTCCATTTTTTGTAGATAAACATTTGTAAATATTCCACTAGGATCCTCACTCAGTTTTTCACCGATCAAACAAATCACCCCACATGGTCATTAGATTCTTGTTCATGGCCAAACATATATTCACAAGGGAACAAAAGGTTAAAATAATGCCAAATGAGAAATAAAAATTTGAATTCTGTTTCCAATATATTTTGGTATTTGTTCATGGTTTTATCATTGGTGGGTAGGTAAGTAAGTAGATGACACTGGAGACAACTTTGCTGCTACTTTTATCTTCTCTCATGAAAGATTAACAGACCAGATCTTCCATTTGGCCAGTGACCTCGCTCTCTCACCTACTATGCCTTTGCTCATTCCTGCAATGGGTGGCTTGAAAACTGACTAGTCTAAGAGAAGGAAAACTGAATTCCAAACCATAGAGAAGGCAATGGGAAATCACTCTATTATCTTCCTTAAGAATTGATAGCAATTTACATATCTTAAAGGAAGTTTTGGAGTCATGCTCACTTGTTTCCAGAAAAGATATGGCATTTAAAAAAGGGAGAATATATATTCATTTATATTAACAGAAAATATTCATATTTAAATTGTTTATTGTTTTAGATAACAGATCAGCTGCCTATTGTGTCACAATGAATTGAAAGCTTATATACAGAATCCATCAAAAAAGTGTATATGCACTTCAGGAAAGGACAGACTTGTCTTTCATAATTTTATCAAATTACAATAACACTGCCATACATGAACTTTATGGAAATGATGAATTTTTCTGTCAACAAGACGGTGCACTGTGACACTACCAGCAAGATGTGTGAGCTTATCTAAATTTGCAAGGACACTGGTTAGGACAAAGAGGTACAATCGAGTTCTCACCTCATCTCCGTTATTTTCTCTTTTAATAAGTGTGACATTCTTTAGATCAAATCTTATCAAAATATAAATATGCACCCTAGTTTTGTTTTTCCAAATTATGACTTTCCCAAGATAATATATATGACTATAAAAATGTTAAAAAAAATTAAAATAAAATCCTTTCATTTGCTTTTGATAAAGTCCCTCAGAGGACAAAATACATCAGCTAAGATAAGTTTTCTTTTTGTCTTTATTCATATTGTCCTTTAACAGATATAATCTATCTGAAATTTTACATATCAAAGTTTATATCTGTACTGCTAACCAGTTTTTCTAAAAGTATGTCACTTATTGAGTGTTTGGTTTTATCATCCTGAAATAATGAGGAATGTTATCAGAGTTTATATCAACATTAATTTATTTATGCAGTCAAAAATGAACAATTTCATGTACAAAAATATTTTGTTAGAAGAATATTTCTGTTAACAGTAAAGGAGGCAATAAAATTAATAGTTTTAATAGATACGAGTCTGGAGTCAAATGAAAACTAAAAACGATAACTGCCATTATGAAAGAGTACTACAAATAACAGTTAAGGGCAAAACGGGATTGGCCAAAACACCCCAAAAATTTAATAAATCTCAATTGGTCAGAATTTATATATAGATTGAACAAAATGATCAACTTTTGAGTAGGCAAATATAATATTATTATAATTCTTGAAATTATTTGGGAACTATACCAGAATGCTGAGATCTCATCATTCTTGGCTAAGCCCATGGGAGAGAAAATCTGATGTCATAGATGCCTGAAACTTTCTATGACCCCAGAATAGACATCACTAAGGAAGCATTCTGGTGCACAATATATGTATATAAAATGAGAAGAACATTTATAAGGAAGCACTAATATGAGGTGGAGGAGTTAGTGAAAATTTCTCAGCCCAACCAACTTCTTAAAATCTGACCCTGTCTCAAAAGATTAAAATTCTTAGTCAGCCTTACTAAATCTTATAAAAACAGTTTATCTGAAAAACGGGATTTTTTTTTATTACCAAATTTTCTTAACTGAATAAAAAACAAATTTTAAGCATAATTGCTATCAATTGATTTTTATTATGTTTAAGACTAAATCTAAAGTATAAACAAAATTAATAAACAAAAATTGATCAAATATGTTTTCATAGAAGAAAAATATTAGACTAACTATAGAAATTCTTGAAAGATCTGTTTGATAAATTAATGTACAAATTAAAAAAAAACAATTATTTAACTAACCACTAAATTGCATAAAATCACAAATACAGAATAAAAGAGTTGATATGAATCTATTTGTGATGATTCTAATTTATCTGTGAATGACTGTAAAACACTTGCCCCTCCCCATTTTATAGACAGAAGAACATAAACGCATGCAGGGATTTTTTCCTAGCCAATAGGCCAGTTCTTGGTTTCATCAGACTCAGGACTGGTCTGTCTTGTCTTGAAGTCAGAACACTACATTCACTTGTCCAAACTTGCTTTGTGTGTCAACTCCAATCCTTAGTTTGTGAACATTTTGCTATAATACTGTTGCTTCACCTTATTACTGTTAATTTGCCTTGCATATATTGTTTGGTTTTTATATTATTTTTTGGCCTGTTCTTTTCTTTTTCTTGTTATTGCTTATTGCAAACTTTGTCAACGTTCTTGTTGGACAGTTCTGCATTTGACCATGGCTAATCACTTCAAAATTTGTCTTTTTTTTCTTTTAATCTTTATTTTTATTAAACAGAATGATAAATTTAAAAAAATAGTCTTCAAATGATTGATACTTACTATCTGGTAGATACATACTGATTAGACCAGAGGCAAGACATGCTAGTCCAGCTAAGACCACTGAAGAAAAATAAAGGGGTTTTCGTCCCCATCGGTCCAACACAAAAAGGACTCCTATTACAGCCGGGATTTCAACAGCAGCATTTACAGTTGTATTCACATACAAGTTTCCTGCCAAATTGTTGCTTATCATTAGAAGACCAAAGAATACAAAACTGATAACACTCCTGTAAATAAATAAAAAGAAATAGGAAACAAATATTTGTTTTGTCTTTGAGAAAAGAACATTCATTAAAATACCCAACATTGTATAGTCACTGTTGTTAATAGTAGGGTTCAGCCAATCTGTTCTTCAGGTTGGTTAGCATTTTGAGGAATTATTCCCCACCTTGTCTGCGAAGATGCCAACTAGGTGGTGCTGTTTCAGGACGATAAAAGGATGAGACAATAAAGACTCTCTTTTGATCCAAAATGTAGCAGAAACTGCTGGTTGTGAAGTTATAAAATTATCAGCAAATGCACACCCAAGACAGTTGGAGGAAGTTACATTTGACAATATAAGTCAACTAATAAGAAGAAATATAGCACCAAAGAATAAACTAGTGAATGCAGAGAGAACTAAGTTCATGAACATTTCTCAAAAAGTGAATGTACCAGTTATTGAATATGCTCTTCATTTGAAACAGACTGTTAAATATTTTGAATTTGAAAACTGGGAACAGAAAGCCAGTCAATTGAAGAGGATTTGATACAAATGAAAGTGGTAAACAGACTTTGAAATGAGGAAATATTGGCATATCTAACGCATTTACAATTGGGAAAGTTGTCACTAAAACAGTGTTTTGAATTTGTTCAGCAACAAGAATTGATTCAAAAATTTAATTTTAAACAAAAGTTACAGATCTGGTAGAGGAAATGGACACATATGCAATAAAGAGAAAAGACAAAATAATGTGTACTTTTTGTGGTTATCAACATCAAAGAAAAAAACAAAAATGTCTAACATAAAAAAAGATAGCATAAACCATAAAATATGTGCAGACATATCCTATCCCCAATGTAAAATGGGCTTTAAATTCCCTTATGGGCATGAAAACATTCTCTAAAATTGATCTGAAGTTAGCATACTATCAAATACATATTGGTGAATTCTTTAAAGAAGTCACAACAATAAACATACCAATAGGCTTATTAAGATGGAAAAGAATGCTATATGGAATTAAAACCGCAAGTGTGATTTTTCAAAGGGTTATAAAGCAAGTTATTGGTAGTGATATAAAAAATACAAAATGCTACCAGGATGACATTTGGATTGATACAATGAAGAAATAGAAAGCCAGTATGATTTTGAATAAGTTAAAAAATGCTGGATTAACAATTAAAAAAAATGTGTGCACAACACTAAGGAAATATCATTTTTGTGATATTCCATATCTAAAGAAAGCATATCATCAGATCAATTGTTAATTGATGAAATATTAAAAGTTGAAGTACCTAAGAACAAAAAAGAATTGGAATCTTTCTTAGAACTTGTAAATTTCTACAGACAATATGTAGAGCAATACTCCCAATTGACAGAACCTTTTGCTGCTTTAAGAAAAAAGAATGTGGAATTTATCTGGATAAAAAAGCAAGTTGAAAATTTAAAAGCTGTTCTGGCAAAGAAGCCAGGAATGAAAATATTAAACCCTATAAAGGAAATAGTAGTAACAACTGACGCAAGTGAACACTCAATTTCGGGAATATTAGCTCAGGATTGTTAAAAGCCAAACTGACCTACTCAAATATTGAGAAAGAAGCATAAATGACAAATAGAGCTTGTCAGTTTCTGAGTGGAAAGAAATTCCTACTAAAGTCCGACCATAGACTTTTAAAATTTAAATAAAAAAAAAAAAAGATACTTTCATATACTGTGTTGAAACTGATATTTTGTCGATAGGCAAATTAGCTGAGGATATGAAGCGAAATACCATACTGAACAGTATATTGTTCAGGATGAAAAATAATAAGTGGAATAATTGCCAGCAACATAAAGGAGCAAAATTACAAAAAGCAAACATGACGATGTTCATTGTGGAATAATGTCTACACAAAGGATATTAAGGCTAGAGCCATGGTGGCCAGGCTATTCTACAAATGTAAAAGAATACATAAAAAGGTGTAAAATGTGCATTGAAAGAAGAAAATTCAGACAGACAAAAACATATACATGGCCTAAAGAGTCACAACCATGTTAATGGAGTGGAATGATTACTAATACTGGTAGATATGTATTCAGGCTGGCCATAACTAATACATGTCTCCAACAAAAGAAGTTCAACCATGAAGCAAATGTTAAGGACCATATTTTCAAGTAATGGAATTCCGAAAATGCTAGTATCTGACAATGCCCCAGAGTCTTGTTATGTTAATGGTGGAACAAAATTGGATACAAACTATATAAAACCCCACTGTATCATCTGCAATCAGATTAGCAGAAAGGATGGCACAAACTATAAAAAACGAATTGAAGATATGTCTACAATGGAAAGAAAAGATAGAAATATTTTTTCCTAGATTGTTGCTAAGCTATAGGACAATACCGCATACTGGAATATCAAAAAGCTCATCTGCCCTCATGGGTAGACAAATTAGAGCCCCAATAACCATGTCTTATGCCACTAATGAAAATTTACAAGAGGCAAGATTCATAGAAAAAAATGGAAATGAAATATTAGCACATGTAGGCCCAGTTAGATTGCAACACAATAGCGATGAAGAAATGTACAGTGAGCTTGAAAGTAATGAAGGCGAAAGTGTCATGTCAAAGCAAAACAAACATGACAGTGAAATCTAGAGGGATATAAACTAAGATGAATAATCGTTGGATGAACACGCCTATGAAAATATCACAATCTCTCATATCTAGACAATCTGTTAGGGAAAGGGAGAAAGATAGTGAGGAGAACAAGTACCAGGGAAAATAAGGAGATGAAACCTCTTTCGTACAGGGAGATAAAGTGACTCATTTACATAGGAAGTCACAAATAGCTACAGCTATTACCCATGGGTAGTTGAGTGTATACTACTTCCTGTGAGTCAGTAACACTCGACTACAATAGGTTTCTCTGCTATTGCTTTTTTCAGTAGTGATGGAGGTTTCCTGCCTAACCTTTTGTTTGAAATAGTGTGGAATGTCATCTGGATTATGTCATCATTTTCTCTTCAAGTGACATGTGCTATCCATTTTAGTTGTTGCTGAAGTTGAAAGTCCTGAAATAATGTGGTTTTGGTTATTTGGTACAATTCTTTGTTTATGATTCAGTAACACCAGCCCATGAAGTTTGAAGAAATATGGTCTTTGCTAAGACCTACAGGCTTCATATGCTCAAAGCTATTTTTAATCATTGGTTGTATACAGCTGACAGTTTAGATATTTTTAACGTGTTCAGTGCCATGCATGACATCAGTTTCAATCTGATGAAGCTATTTAAGAATGTGACTCTAGTTTTTAAGTTAACACTTTATTAATACTTCAGAGTAAAATCTACTATTTTCTTTTTTATGAACATAAAGTTCATAAACATTACAAGATCAGTCCAAAAGTTAAGCATTTTTTAAGCATAAAGACTCGGATTTTTTAACAAATAATGTAACCAAAAATAAATGATATTGAATCAACAATTTTCAGCTGTACAATGAACATGAATGAACCCTATGTAAGCATTTAAAGTGGATGCATTAATAATTTTAACATTTAACAAGAATAAATATAAGTTATTCTCATATCTCAAAGACTAGATGTGCTAAGACAATCCCAAATACAGATTTGGAATCAATTTACATTACTATAATAATACACCAAATTTAGGTAGAAACTAAATCATCCATGACCCATTGGGTCAACCTTGTTTTGTTACTGTTCACATTTAGTTTCATGAAGTTTGTGAAAGTAGAGATATTTTAAAAATACATTTATTTGCAGTTATTGAAGTTGCTTTCAACATTAAAAAAGTATCTGTTTGAAGAAAGTTGAAATAAAAATACTTACTGTATAAACAAATCGTATTTTTAAATCATATATTATTACTTGTGATCCGTTGAGTCACTGAATGCACAGATTATAACTCATTGAAGTTGCTTTCAGTATTAAAACAATTGTGTTTGAAGAAAGTTGAAATAAAAATATTTAAAATATTGTTCATTTAAAGAAAGTTTAAATATAATATTATTAAATAACAATCATGGGAAGGTGGAAAGAGAAAGCGTTTTTTTTTCTCCATTTCCTTCTCCCCCACCGCTTCCTATATGTTCATAAATTCATATCTTTCTTTCACCCACTCTCTATATATGACTTCTGGTAAACACACAAGCAATGTTCACAGACTTTTATAGTAATATAAAGATATATATTCTGTGCCATCATAATTATATTTGTATACACATTTCATGTATGAAATGTAACAACAGGAGTAAATTGTGTTACAGCAAATAATAGTTATAAAAAAAAAGGTTTTTCTGAATTGAGAGAAAATTATATACAACAGTAAGTCAATGTTTTCATTCTGTTTTTATTTATTCAATGATTTCTTTCAACTTTCTTCTACAAAATGTTTTTTTTTGTTTGCTCAGTGTAATTAATACAAGACAAGGTCTCTCTAATCCTATGTGAGCACATGATGTAAAATCCTGTGTACAAATTCACTATTTAGTCAAAAATAATTGACAAAATTTTTATTGCCCCATTGTTTATATACAAAAATACAAGAAACGTAAACATCCAACTGTTTTTCACATATTCCATCTGATATACTTTGTATAGATATTTCATATCAACCATTTATCATAGACAAACATGCTTAAGTCTTTTACCTTTTTTCACAAATAAATAGCACTTAGTGTCATAATCACAACAAAAAGGAAATTTAAAACAACTTCTCACCAATTAAAAAATATAATCAGACTGCGTAGTAAAAGTATCTTGGATTTAAACAATTTCAGAAATCCTTCATGTACCATTATTCTTTCTTCTTTGTTGTCTTCATCAGGCAGAAACAAATCCTCAGGCAATTCGACTTTGTTTACATAGGCAGCTTTTCTGAATATCATCTCTGCTTCTGCATATCTTTTCTTCAAGATGAGCCAGCGTGGGGATTCAACAAGAACACTAAAAGGAAATTCAAAGGCAACTAAAAGTAAACAATGAAAACATTTATTAAACAGGAAATTCCAAAAATAACAAAAAATGAATTATAGAACTGGTAATTACTATGTAAGTCTTTTTAATTATTATATGTATGTGATCAAAATATAGTTTTAATGTATGCTATATTTATGGGTAAAAGTGCTCAATATCAGAGATAGAGCACATGTACATATAAAAGTGGACATCAAGGTCAACAATGAGTGATGACTGTTTTATGCTTGAATGTAATCTTCAGAATTTCCCCTCTGTACATAATTATAACTAGGGATCTCCACAAACGACGTGATACTTAAGGTTTAAAATGAATATTTAAAAATGAAAAATCTTTCTTGAAGCTTTTATTTTAGTTTTAAGCTCAAGCTAATAGATTAAATTTAATATTTCCAATAAACAAAATACTTTGCTGTATTTCAAAAAATAATTTAAATTGACTGGAAAGAGTTTTTATTTTATTTTTTCTAAAATAGCTGATTAGCGCTGTTTCTTAGACGTCTTTCATCACAATGTAATTATCTTTATTTAAAAAATCTTCCAAAAATAAAATATACTCTTCTGAAAATTTATTTGAGGAATATTAGCTGTTTTAAATTATAACTAATATTATTTACTTTAAGTTTAAAATATTGCAGAATATTTGGCTCTCCCAATGCGTCTTCAGATCTCAGTGTCTCACTTTCTGTCCTGTGTCAGAACTTTTGTAGTTTCCTTTCCATCTCTGCTATCAGCAGTGTGTCATCTGCATATCTTGTAAGATTGTAGCCACTAATGATGAATCCTGGTAGGATTTCTAGTTCTCTCAGAATTGCCTCGCTGTACAGGCTGAACATGTCTGGTGAGAAGACACATCCTTGTCTTGTGTTACACCCCTTTCTATTTTTGTATATCTGCTGAACTCATTTTTTATCCATATGCAGGCAGTTTGCTACCAGTATAAATTTTTTTATTATTCTAATATCATTCCTGAATATGTCAAGGTTGCTAAGCAGCTCTAACACACCTTTATGTCATATTTTGTCAAATGCCATTGCATAGTCTATAAAACACAGGTACACATCCTTCTGCATTTGTATTGCTCTTTCTGATAACATTCTGAGTTCCTTGTTCTAGTGTCTTTGACGAACATGCACTGTTTTTGTTCCATCTCTGGCCTGCATACTCTATTCATCAGAATTCAGATGATGAGTTTTGTTATGTGGCTTGTAAGGCTAATTGTCTGGTAGAGTTCACATTTATTTATGCCTGGTTTCTTAAGCAGTGCCATGAAAATAGATCTGCTTAGTTCGCCTGGTATATCACTACTGTTGTAGATTTCATTTATATTATTATCTATACTGAAATCATCTAATGCTGCTAGCATCTCTGATACAATTCTGTCTTTGTTTCTGTTCATTTGGGCCCATAAAACTTCCACTTCAGTTTTTAATATTTCCGGTCTGTCAGTTTTTCTGTATATTGTCCACTGCTCCCTTTCATTGTGGAAGTGATCTCTGATATATTCATTCCATCTCTGGAGAATTTTTTTTTCTAATATGAGCATTCCATCTTTGGATTTTATGCAGCCTGTTGCTTTTTGTCTTTTATCCTGTTAGTTCCCTTATTTTTTATGCATATCTCTTTTGTCTCTCTATTTCTGCACATTTTTCACTGAGCCATTCTTTTTTAGCCTGCCTGCATTTATTCCTTATTTAATTGTGTAGGTTTCTGTATTCCATTACATGTCTTGACATCTCCTTTGTATCATGTCAAGAATCTCACTTGTAAACCATTCGTTTTTTTTTCTTCTTTGTCTATTTTCCTTTGGGATGATCTCATTTGCTGATGTTACTAAAGCTTCTCTTAGTGTCTCCCATTTCAAGTTTCCATTTCGTCCCTCATATCTTCTTTTCATACTGTCCATATATTTTTCTTTCAGCTTCAGGTCATTCAGGAGTCTGTTGTATTGCAATTTGGGTGCTGCATTACGCTTCTTCAGTTTCTGTATAGAACTAAACCTGTTGACAGAAACCATCTCACTTTTCATAAAACCTAATACGGCTTTGAGATATATTAATACAGCATCCAACCACCCGTCAAGTGTAATTAAAAAATATCCTGTTAGGTGTACAATGCAGATTGTCAAAAAATTCTTCAAATGAGGAAATATTCAATGAAAAAAGAAAATATATGTATCTGCCTTAAGAGAGGAGGGGCATAATGCCAACCTGTGTTTCAAGGACCAAACGAACCTAAGAACAGATGACAATAGAAAAAAAAAAAAGAAAATCATCTAGTTCAACCCACCCTTTAACATGCAAGTAAAAACAAATATAGGGAAAATGTTTTTCAGCCTTCTAAATAAGCACTTCCCAAAAGCGTCCAAGCTGAACAAGTTATTTAACTGCAATACAGTCAAATTGAGTTACAGTTGCACTAGCAGCATAGGCAATATTTTCAAATTGAAAGTTGAAATGGCTAGATATAAATTAAGTTCTAACAGTTTCTTCTACTGCACTTCTTACTTGTGGAACTCTTTTGTGACTTCTTACTTCCCAGTCAACTTTGATCTTCAAAAATTTAAATGCAATGACAATCGTTATCTTCTGTCTCCTTAATTCCTGTCCTTTTATTGACTTCTCTCTTTCTATATAATAAATGCGAATGTCAGTGTGTCACACTTTTTCAACTTTGTTCCTAGAGGCCACAGCCCAACATATGCTATTTTGGAATCAGGCTGACTGTGAGAAAATTAAAAGCATTCTGGTAGGGCAGCTTCTAAGCTAATAATAGTATATTTTTTTCATATTCTCTAACACTGAGTAACCTTTTGCATCTTAGTATTTTTGTTGCTTTGCTTGGAGTGAAATGATTAAAAAAACAAAAAAAAAAAAAAGCAACCCTAAAAATAATAATAGCCTGGGAAAATAAAAAATACAACATCATTGCTTTTTATTCTGTATTGACAGAAATCAGTATAAATGAAAATTTGATCTGGTGTGTGGGGAAACAAATGATTCGTGATTGTTAACATTGATTTTTTTTTTTTTTTTAAGTGGAGCCATACTGATACTCACCACCAATAAAAAATTGTCGGCCAAAGAACTGAGGAGAGAAGAAGACAGAGAGTTCGCCAATCTCTCACAAAATATGCTATGGCCCCAGTAAGGATTTCTCCTAATGTGTAGATTATATTTAAAATGACACCAACCAAAGTTCTTTTTGAGCTGCCCACATGTTCCACAGCTGAAAATGAATAATAATAAAATAAGTGAAATATTGACTGATAATATTTTGAGAATACTAAAAAACTAGAAATCAATTCAGAGAAAAAAAATGTGTTCAAATAAGATGAAATGAAAACATTTTGATTGTTAAAAATTATTTTTATACTTTTTATAATAGTGATTAAGTGAATGACAAAAGGAAAAAAAAATGCCTTAGTGACACATTTCTTCAGACTAATAATGGTTTTATTGACAGAATCAATTTTATCTACAGGATTGTAGGTGGGGGAGAAGATGGAGAGAAATATAATCAACACCAGTTAGAGTTTTACAGTGGAATATTAAAGTCACCGAGATGCTCAGCTTTAAATTTAAATTGACTGATGGATCTGTTTTTTATGGCTTATCAACCCATTGCAGGTTATTCAATACCAGAAAATATCTTTTTAGAGTGTAAGAATTTTTTTTGGGGGGGGGAGATAATTTAGATTGTAAGAATTTGGGTGTGGAGAGATAATAATGATTTAATGAGACAAGTCTTAGTAATTAACTCATAGCGGGGAGGTAGAAGAGGTAGATTCATGCTTCCCCAAGAGTATTTGCACATAAGTGAATATAATGATCCCAATGGGAAGTGGCACTTGGCTCTCTAACAATTCTGAGTCATTATCTATTATACCATCCACACATTCAAGCTTACAGAACCTGGTATTCCAGCAATCACCCATCTAGGTACTGATCAGGGTTTGATGTTGTTTAACCTAGCAAATGTCAGTTATAAATGAATAAAAACATTTACATTAATATCTCAATATATCTGGAATTGGAACTCGGCTCTGATTAACAATTCCAAGCCATTATTGATTACACTGCCTGCATATCCAAGCTTACAGCACCTGGTATTCCCAAGAAATCACCCATCTAAGTATTGACCAGGCTCAACATTGCATAACTTTGGTGATCATACAAGAACCAATCTTTCAATGTGATGTGGGTGTAAGCATTTAAATTTTGACGTCTATTGTATCTAGATATTTAAATTAGCCTACGTCATTCCACTTTTTATCATTTTTGATTTTAATTACTCCACATTGTATCAACAATAATTTTGTAGGGAAAGCAGATATGATTCTGCACATAAATTTATGGTAAAGGATTCCAAAATTAATGCACTTTCAATGCATTTTTGCTTTAAAAATTATTTTCTTTTTAATCAAAACTGCATTTTTAAAGTTAAAATTATGGTTCAATCTATTACAATGAATAACTAATGCATTGAGTGAATTTTTTTTATGTTTCACTGAATACAGAAGGACTGATTGATAAGGTATCCAATCCTCAAAAACAGTTGTCCTCAACCATTTTTTTGCCTAATGCACTCTTTTCACCATAAGTGAAAATTTCATCCCCACCCACTTACCAAGATTGTCCAACTTAAAAGGTGTATTCCAAATAATATGCATATATTATTGAAAATCTTAATTCTTTTACATATTAGCACATATACATTAACATGGATTATCTTTATATAGGGGTTTTACAAATTTAATAACAGAAAATGTTCATGGATTTTTAAACTTGAATGCAGTAATTTGTTTTAATTCCTAACTAATTATTAAATAAATAAACTGAAGCATACTTCAATCAACAAAAAATTCAATAGAATGTCAGGGTATTGTAATTCCTTAAAAAAATTCTGTAAATAGAAAAAAACTAGAAAAAGTAAAAGGCTTTTTCCCTCCATCCTGTGAAAATCTGAAATTCTCCCCAGTGGGGAATACTACCCTGATTGAGAGCCCCTGTTTTAAAACAAGTTCTATACTAGATGGAATAATGAAACTGGTATCAAAACAAAATAAATTTATTTCTCTTCGAAATTTATCAGAATTCATAAGTTTGCTTTCTAATCCCATAAAATAGGTTTCAGACCAGATTGAATAATGAAACTGGTATCAAAATGAAGTATATTTATTTCTTTTCAAAATTATGTGGTTTAACTGACAAGTAAGCTCCTCAATACTTTAAAACAAGTTTTTAACAAGATATAATAATAAAAAAAAAAACTAGTATCAAAATGGAGCAAATTTGATTGATACCATTTAGCAGTACAGTACTTTGTTTCTAATGATTTTTTTCTGTTTAATACTTTGTTTAGCTTTTGGAAGCCATCTTGCATTATTCCAAAGTGATTTTCAATTTCTATATCAAATTTTTTGTCACCTGTTAAAACACTTCCCAGATAATTAAATTTCTGTACTTGCTTGATTTTGAAATTTCCAATTTGTAGCTTGCACCTTGGGCTGCCTCTCTTGCTAACAATCATACATTCATGCCATTGCTAACAACCATCAATTGTAAGCAGTCAGAATATATGGTCAGTAGCAAAAGGGACAGCCCCAAAGTGCTTTGGTACAAAAGGTAACCTTTACACATCATGTTGGATCACAGTTTATCAACTCTTAATATGACTCATGTATCGTCCTGAAGAGATGCAGTGCATAGAATAAAAAAAAAGATATTGGGACTTACAAATGACAAAAATAATCATATAAAGGCCAACAATAAATACACCAGTGGTAAATCGAGCAGCTTCAAGTGATATCACTTCTGGAATCCAGTAAACACATACAGTTGATGCAATGTTTCCAAGAAGACAAATAAAATAGGCTGGTTTTCTTCCAAATCTGAAAATTTAAAACAAAGCCGTTATCATTAATGCCTGTCCCCAATGCCATATAACAAATCATGCCAACACTAAAAATGTGATGAAAAGAAAAAGTTCTCAAACTGACCTTTAAAAAAAAAAGGTCATGTTTGGTCAGGTTTTAGGAAGTGGACTGAAATGAGAATTTTTCAGCACCCCTCATATGTAAATTATATATGTGAAGCTGAAACATCAAATTTTATGCAAAATTAACTTTTGTGTTGGAGGGATAATTATTTTTGACTTTTTAACATTTGTTACCAAATTAATCTATATCTGTACCAAAATGTTTGCACACTCATTAATCCAGACAAGCTTTCAGATCCAAGCTATAAATCCATGCAAAAACTGACAAAGGAGAAATTGGCAAAGCTTAAACAGAACTCCAGGATTAAACCATTTTTAAACAATAGGGATACCAATGATCCTGCTGCTGAGTTAGCTTCCATGTACAGGGTGCAATGGATAAATTGTCATCTAAATTACATAAAAATGAAAATAACACTGATATCTCATTTTAACAGATATATTTATCTAAATTACACAGATATCTTGAAATACTAAAGAGTAAATTTATTCAATAAAATCGTCATTGGTTTGAACTATGACCTCCAGACAACTTTGGAATCTCTTGCAATTCACCTTATCTTATCAGAACAATCAGAGTGAGTTTTCTGAGCTGCTTCATAATCAGACTCGGATGAGTCTAATGGTGATTATGAAGTTATGGCAGCTCAGAAAACTTTCCAAATCCTATGCACTGTCCTCAGATTGACCCTCAAATAGTCTGAAATGTTTGTAATGAAGCTCTTGGTATGAATGCCATGCAGTACAGCATGTCATTCCCAAATTTCTGGTGGAATGAATTGCATCATGGTGTTCTTTTACTCACAGACGGTGCCCAGCTGATCCTACTATACCAGTGTTCCCCTGAATTCTAAGGTTCTATAAAAGGTTCCCAAGAATTCTACGAGAACAGGTGAGATAAGCTAATGCACTTTTGAATTTTTATTTAATTTCATATACATAATATTGCTAAACACACACAATATATTTATGGTTATTGCAAAAGAAGACATCATCCTATATAACCTATTATGATATTAAAAAGTATAACAATCACTGGGAATATATTTAGTGATGTCTGTACAGCACCTTCACTTGTTAGTACACACTCAGCGAACAGAACCTGTACTTAAAGTTACTTATTTCTTTATTTTTGCTTTATTTTTATAGAAATACCTAATCACCCAATGTGGTGATTTTTGAAGAGGAATGTTTCCCTAAAAAAATTCTGATGAGGTTAATGATAAAGAACCACAAGCTCCTGACCAATTCCACTGCACTAGTAGTTCAACAATGGGCAGAAAAAAGATCCGTCTTTATGATGAAAGTTATTTATCAAAAGGGGCTTCACATGGACTCTCTTGTCCCATTGTGTGTCGTCTGTGGCAAATGACTTTCAAATGTAGCAATAGCGCCAGCTAAACTGAAAAGACACTTCACAATAAATCAGTCATATGAAAAATAAAAGTGCAGATTATTTTAAAAGGCTGTTGGAATCTCAGAAGAAACAGAGTACAGCTTTTTTGAGTAAAGTTAGTGTAAGTGAAAAGGCTCTTGAAGCAAGTTATTTAGTAGCATAAATTATTGCACAAAAAAGGAAAAGTCACAGAGTTGGTGAGAGCCTAATATTGCCAGCTTGTAAAATTATAGTAGGTAAAATGCTTGGACAAAATGCACTACAAAAATTGAAAATGTCCAACTTTCAGACAGTACAATAAGTTGATGTATTAATGATATGGCACATGACAGTGAAGAGTTTTTGCGTGACAAATTGAAAAATAGCTTTTTCTATTCAGGTTGATGAGTCAACAAATCTTACCATTAAATGTCATGTTGTAGCTTTTGTAAGATTTGTCAATGTGGGTGAAATTCAAGAAAACTTCCTATGTTACAAAGAACTGCAAAGGAATAGATGTATTCAATATTTTGTCCTCATATCTAGAAACAAGAGGTCTCTCCTGAAAAGATTGTGTTGGCATCTGTACTGATGGTGCTCCATCAATGGTTGGCTCCATAAAAGGTTTTGCTTCTCTTTTAAAACAAGAAAATCCTGATATAATTTCAACACACTGCTTTCTTCACAGAGAGGTGTTGATTTCAAAATCACTTGGAGATGAACTGAAAAAAGTTTTTGAACTGCATATCAGAATGGAAAATATTTTCCTTCCCTTTCAACACAGGTATATGATTGGGTATGGGATCCATACTCTAAATCTGCTGGTCATCCTGAGAATCTGACATTAAAAAAAGAGGAAGAGCTGCAGTGATCATACACTCAAGATTTACAGACCTATCTCTGGACAAGTTCTGATTTCTGTGAAAGAAGAGTTTCCTACTATTCATAGAAAAGCAATTAATATATTGTTGCAGTTTTCAACGTCTTACATGTGTGAGCAAGCCTTTTCTTATTTAACAAGTATCAAGAGCAAAGACAAATCGTCTCCTCTTAATTGAGAATGAAATCCATGTCTGTTTATATAAAGTTGGACCTCGAATTAAGTATTTGTGTAGCAAAAGACAGACACAGGCTTCACAAGCATATTTCACTTTATCAATTGGCTCTGAAAGTAACATTTTCTTAGCCCATTTATTGGTTCACAGGACATTTTGCCTTGATTTACCTTATGTCTTTTCAACATTGCCAGTAAGGGATAAAAAAAAAATAAAAACTGATGCAGCAATTATCTGTTTTTGTTCTGTTTGCATTTATATTATAGGTATATGATATTGGTTACTTACGTTTATTTTTTATTTTTGAGTATTAATTTTTCCATAAACCAGTTATTCAAAAAATATACTATGATATTTACCACATGAACTACAATGAAAATAAAATGAGAAAGATATGGTATATATTTTTGTTTTTGCACAGGGGTTCTTTGAGACATGTAATTTATTTTATGAGTTACGCAAGGGTAAAAAGGTTGAGAAATGCTGTACTATACTATGCAGTCAACAAAATTAAAAACAAAAAACAAGCATACACAAAATTAAAAATATTAAATGGCGAGAATTTACCAATCGCACCATGTTCTGACACAGGAGATACAAATAGATAAAGTAAAAATAATAAATAATAAAATCTATCTTTCCTAATATGAAACACAATGTGACTTTATATATTTATTGGTCATATAGTCTGATCTCCCTTACTAAATGAGACATTCTGCTGTTACATAAATAGGAGGCATTACTCTCCATCAATGATTGAACTTGCCTCGTGTTACCATAAGAAGAGAATATCTCATTAGTAAGTTTTGTGAGGTTTCTTTGGATATTTTTTACTTTTAATCATTTCAAAAGCAGAACACTTTTTTTACACATGACACTAGAATTAATTTTATTGATAAAAATCCAAGATTACTCATACTTAAAATATAAGCAATTTAATTACAAAATTACTTAAATAGTTTCATCATTTTTAATGATACACACAAATAAATTCTCATTTTATTTTTATATTTTCAATAAAAATTTAAAAAGTTGTATACTGTTCTGATTCAAAAAATATATGCACATCAGCTCATGTCTTTTTAATTTTTTTCCATTAAACATGTTTTGGACATTGTTTAACCTTCATGCTCACAAAAAATATGTGTGAAAAGGTCAGTTATTCCTGTGACACCCACTATTACAGTATAAACTTTTCATTCCCTTGGCAATGTTGATTGTTTTTAAAAAGTGACAATTAGAATTTTAATAAAACTCAATCATATGAAAGTGGATTTATTTATTCTCAAGAATTGACAACAAAAATCATAAACACTATTTATTTATTAGATTGAATAAAAAACTTGTTTTCATAGTTATTTATAAAATGGTAAATAATAAATATTGCTTTGTAGTTGGTTTACATATTTTGGCCATTTTGTAATTTTTTCATAAATATTTTTGAAATAAAAAGATTTCTTTTCAAATTTATTTCTTTATAAAATGGCAAATAATAAAGATCACATTGCACTTGATTCACATATTTTTATAATCTTGTAAATAATCATTGCCGAGGGAGCCAAAAGTGTATACAGTAATATTGGTGTCAAAGAAATAACTGTCCTTTTGCGACACTGTTTTTTTTGCAAGTACAAAGGTTAAACATTGCCCAAGTTTTATTAATTTCAACCAAGAAGTTCTGTCAGTTTAATTTTTTATTGTATTTTCCATTTTTCAAATCAGATGCTATACATCTGAATCCAAATCTATTAAACTAACAACATCCAATTCTTGATAATGACTGAGATATTCAAAAGTATGTGAACAAAACAAAAATATGATCTTTGAACAGTACATCCACAATTTTGATTTGAGTGTGCAACATCTTATTTGAAAATTGGAAAAATACAATAAAAAAAAAAATAACCTTGTCACTTGAATTTCACAAAATTTATTTAAATGAATCCTTAGTGCCTAAAATATATATGTCACAGACATATAGAAATTTAAATGTGTTCTAGAGACAAAGTGTACAAATATTTTGAGAAGATCCTGTATTATTCAACCGGAATGATAATACATTTATTTTACTTACTTGTCTGAAACAATTCCTAACATAAAGGAACCCACCAACATTCCAACCATGAACCACATTTTAGTCAAGGAACCATATATTTCTTTACTACATACCATATTCATCTGAAAAAATAAATACCTTTAGAGATACAATATATTTGACATGGAGGAATGAAAAAAATGTTGGTCTCTTATTTGTAAAGGAATCTTCAACTTATCAAAATTATTAAAAATTACTACCTGGATAGATAGAAAAATTAAAGAAAAAGTTAAATTACGTAAAAGTATGTTGATTATATATTGGCTATACAGATGGAGTATTTTATTTTATATATATATATATATATATATATATATATATATATATATATAATGCCTTGACTTCTTGGACAAAATGGTGGAGTTATTTCTTGTTGCCTTTTCAATGGTTTTAAATTCAGAGTAGTCATCTATGTTATGTCTCTTCAGGATGTAGGTTATCATAGCTTTCCACAAATTGCTTTTTCTTTATTATCTGTGACTTGCTGTGAGTTCTTAGGAAAGCTAGTGGAGAGGTTTTTCATTGCCTTCTCCATGGTTTGCTATTCAGAATTTTCCTTCTCTTAAACTGATTGCCATTCAAAACTAAAGAATCCCGTCTACTCTGCTGTTTAAACCATAACTGGGGAGAGAAGAGATAGATTCATGCCTTTCCCAAAGGCATTAGTGCTAAAGTGAATGCAACTGACTAGGTTAGAATTTGAACTCAGCTTGCCAGTTTGTGTTCAAAATAACTGAGAATTAGGAAGGCCATAGTTAGAAAGAGTATCAAAGCAACAGAAGTCTAGTTAAAGGACACAAAGAAAAAAGGTTTATTAAATACTCATATATAGAACAGAAAAACTTGACTAAATCAAATACTACTCAAATCCTGCTTGCTATATTTATGAGTAGGAGCAGCCCATTGTCAAAATCACAGGGAAGAGCAAGAAATATGCTGAGTCCTTCTTTTAGTTGATATTTTTATGCACCAATAACCATTACACTACCTGCACATTAGAGATGGGCAGTTTAACCGAAAAACCAACTTTTTCAGTTTCATCTTCACACTGTGAAACTGCATCAAAATTTCTTACAAAACCTATATCATTCAGTTTAGTGCTATCACTACTGAGTGACCATATCCCCCAAAAAACACAATTGAAAAAGACTTTCAAGATGTTAATAAAATTAAATTTTATCAACATTTATACCATTGTAAGAGAAAAAGATTGAACAAAAATATGTTAAAAACATTTAATTGACTAGTTTTAGGACATAAATAAGAAATCTATTTGTTTACAAAGGAAATGAAGAAAAAAGGAAATATAACAGATATGACACTTGAAAATCATAGAATATTTTCAAACAGAAAAAAAGAAGGAAATAGACATGATGATTGAAATCTATTTGTTTCAGTTTAAAAAAAAATGTGGTAAAATTAAGTTAACAACAAAATAGTGAGTAAAAAAAAAGTTGCCAGTTTTGTCTTAAATGTTAAATTTTATGAAGTCAGATTTAAGGGTAATTGTTTTCTAGTAAGCTAGTATAGCCAATCACAAAATAAAGTTGTTGTAAACAAGAAAATGAATGAAGATTTTTTTTAATAAATAAATTTGGTTTTTATCTAGAGAATGCACCTAAATTAGATATTAAGAATAATAAAATAGTTAATTCTACTTTAAAAAATGTGTATATTTCTAGATATGCGAGTCTCTAGTGCAAAATTGTTTTCTAGAAGTAAAATTATGTTCCTATCTAGTGAATACACCTAAAATTAGATATTAAAAAAATGAAGTAAGTTTTAATCTCAGTTTTAAAATGTGTATATTTTCAAAACTGCAAGTAATTTTGTTTTAAGCCCAAAGTAAAAATTATTCTTTTTTTACCCACTAGTGTTCGGTGGGTGTTCTGGCTATAAAATTCTTCTAAGAAAGGAAAATTAATTCATTTTATTTTTACAAATATCTTTATGGTTTTATCTAGTGGATACACTTAAGATTATATATTAAAAAGATTAAAAGTTTTTATTTCAGTTTTAAAATGTGTATCTAAAAAAGAACATGTGTTACTCGCAGATTTGGAAATATACATATTCTAAAAATGAAATTAAAAGTTTTTAATTATTTTTAATATTTAATTTTAGGTGTAGTATTCACTAGATAAAACCAAATTTAAATTTATGGGGGGGGGAATAACTCATTGATTTTACTTATTTAGAAGAAATTTATTTATCAGTTGACTGGCATACCAGAAAAGAATTGCCATATTTTTAATTATTTTAAACATGAGGGGGGGGGTCATTTTTTGGCTTTTTAAAAGCCACAAACTAATTTCTGGAGGGCTATACCATTTTCTCTCTCAAATGTGTTGTCCAAAGACACAAATATAGATAGTTTATGCAATGATTTCTTTTGTATTTTACCAATTTGTTAATAAATGTCGCAGTTATTTAATTTATGGTTGGCAATTTATTCAAAAGTTTAATAAATAAACTTTAATCAAAACAAATGTCTGTCAGTCTCAGACGGTAGTTTCAATAATTTGAAAGTTCTTTTACCACACATCAGTTGGTCTTTTTTTTCCTTTTCTTTTTTGCTTACTTTATAATTTTTCCACTGGCCAGAGAAGAAATGAACATCTTCCTGGTTGTAGTTTAAGGTGTCTTCTAATTGAGTACAATTTCAAGAACATTGATCAAGATTGGTCACTTTGATCTTGCAAAACAAAGTAACGTGTAAAATTTAGTCTAAAAAAAAATAAAATAAAAAAAAATCATATTTTGCATTTTCAGCTTTTCGAAGTAAAATACCAATTTAACTCACTGTAAAAAAAAAATAATTCAATGAATAAAAGCACATACAAATTGCATATTTAGAAAGATTATTTTATTTTCTTTCCATCCAAATGAATATTTTTCAGATTGAACCAGAAATACATGAGAAATTGCGAGTTGAATGAATATTGACTGGAAATGCTATCATTACACAAGAAAATGAATGGCTTCCTTAGAAAGCAAAAATACTAAATTAAAAACCAAAAAAACTGAATCAAAATCTGTGGTATCAAGGGAAAAAAACAGAAACCGATACTGAAACATAAATTGCCAAACCGACCAACTCTACTGCACATTAATCATACTTTATATGAAATTTGCATATTTCTACATATGCCAGTTTGCTAGAATGGATAGCTAATCCTTGTGACAGACACTTGCTTAGGCATATTTGTTCTTCTTCAACAGCCACAAATGGTGGTATTTGAAAACACCATGAGACTAATGCTGTGACAATGCCCCACATGATTAATTGGGGTGGGAGGGTTAAAAAAATATAAAAAAAACTGTCTGATGATAACAATTCTCTAGGTTAACCGTTTTGTGACTATTGTTCCACTAGTGGAACATATTTTAAGACATTTTTTATATCAGATGAGTATTAATTTTGATTTGATTTTTATCAATTGATATACAGAAAAAATAAAATACACTATTTGCTTATACATTGTATAAAAATACTATTTATGCCTGATCAGTTTATGCAGATTTTTGCCAAATTTTGCAACCATGTCTGGTCGCTAAAAGGTTAAGCCCATTATAGGCTACAAGATTTTCTATCAACCCTCATCAGTTGGTGCTTCAATATGTGTGTATGTGTGTCTATCCTATCAGTGCCTTTAAAAAGAGAGTAAGCCAAGTAATAGCTCAGAATAAAAACAACACTGAGTGGAAAAACCCAAGAGTTATTCAAAAACAGATAACACAAAGCTTAACTAAAAGGTAAATTTTTTCTCTCTCTCTTACCTCAGTTGCAGCCGTTTTTATTACAGTAGATTTATCATAGACCCATTTATGACAGGCCACTTTTGTTCTGTTTGTATCGTTGAATTGCAAGGATAAAAAAGAGTCATTGGTGCTAAAAATTTCACATGGTGCATATTCAAGTTTGTTATTCTTCCACACATAAGGAATGGTTTTATTGATAAGCTCCGCATGTGCTTCATTTTGGACTTTATAAGTGTCATTGTTGAGACCAGGAATGGCACATCTGAAAATGAAAATTATAATACAAAATTATATAATTCATAAAAACTATAGGACAGAATTTGTCAAGATTGTTGAAATAAATTTAAGAAAGAAAATCATTTTTAATAATTTTTTTCCTTAATTTTTCAGTTATTCTGATGAGGTTCTAAATGAATGAAACATTAACAATAAAATCTCTCTGACTTATATAATGTGTATTTGGACAGCAATTTTTAATTTATACAAATTTGGTTAAAGACCAATTAAAGTGATTTTAAGCATTTTTTTTTCTTTATTTTTGTATATTTCAAATTCTTTTCCTGATTTCCAGTGGAAATCTAACTACAAATATATAGTAAACTCTCTGATAATGTCTTATAAAAGCTAGAAGTACTCAAACCCTCTCCTTCCTTTAGTCTCATAAACTCTACTGAGAAGTACAGAGCCAGAGCTTGCAACAACACTAGATATTGTTGCTGAGGATTCCATATCAAGTAAGGTTTTATGGGATGAAGTTATGTTATGTAGGAACACACCTATTCTATAGTTAATAGACTCTCCCACCTATAATAAGTAGGAGTAGTAAGAGTAACGTGGGGTCAGTGAGTCAGTCAGTGTCAGACGACAGTTAGTCGAATACTAAAGTATCAGCGACCACAACTAGATTACTCTGCGTTATACCTATTATATCAAGTTCCTAACATTTTGTACGTCGAACCTATTTTAGGACTGACTTAGTACAAATACAAGCCTCCACTGTGAAATCACTCCACAACAAGTTACTAGCCCCATACCTAACTAGTTTTCTAGTTGGTGTTTGCATACAGTATCTAGTGTTCCAAATCAGCCCCCCCATCAAAGTACTGACTGGTCTTAACATTGGTGATCAATCAAGAACTGTTGATTTAGTGTGATTTGACTGTCAGATAATTATTAAGAGAATCTATTTTTATGAAACTACTCTGGGTTTTCGGTCATTTAGATATGGTCAGATGACCTTACAAAGTGGAGATCTTTTATCCAGGTATTCCTATTTGTTGGTTGGCACCAAAATTAAGGGAATTGGCTGACAAAGTCAATTGTTGTAGAAATCTGCTTCAGAGCTGTCTGTTTACTACCATTCGCTGACCTGACATGTAAACCATACAAAAAAAAAAAAAAAAAAAAAAAAAAAAAAAAAAAAAAAAAGAAACAGTAACTTACAACTAACATTTTTTTCAAGATTTCCTAACTTCTTATTGGTAAGCTTTTATTTTTGTTTTTCCTTTTTAGTCATTGACCATAATCATTAAAATTATAATAAAACAATTTTTTTGTTTACTATAAAACTTGGTTGTTTTCTTCTCTTATTGCACATGTGGCATAATTTCATAATTTATATTCAAATTTTCAGTGGAAGCCAGAAAAATGGTACAAAATATAGAAAAAAATATATATCTTTAAAAGAATCTCATCAGCCTTTAACAAAACATTATATATATATATATATATATATATATATATATATGAAGAAAAATATACGAAAAAAAACAAACAAAAATCCTAATATGCAATTATGCTGTTTTAATGTTAATATAATATCAATGTCGGACGTTTCGGTCTAGTAGACCATCTTCAGGACATATTCATAAAACATAATTAACATTAGACTATATTTAATGCAACATGAAAAGATGATGGACATAAGAGTAAGACTAATCAAAACAGATAACTTACTCTTATGTCCATCGTCTTTTCATGTTGAATTAAATATAGTCTAATGTTAATTGTTTTATGAACTGAACAGCCAGAATACCTGCATATATAATTTGATTATAGTGGTGAAAACTTTTGCACAGAACTAACCACACTTTCTGAAAGAACCAAACACAGAGACCTGGTGCAGAGTGTGGCATAGGGTCTGCAAACAACCTTCCTCAGGTTCTGAATTCAAAATTTTTCCTTCAAAACTGGTGGACAACTAAGACTAAAGAACCAAGCATACCTACTATTTGACCCATAGCTAGGGGGAGACTAAGAGATGGATTAATACCTTTTCCAAGGGTATTTTCACATAAGTGAATGTAACAAACTCAATTGAAATTCAATCTCAGCTCAATGATTTCTCATTTCAAGCCACTATCCATTACACCAGACAGAGATCCACTGAGGATCTGAATATATATATATATATATATATATATATACACACACACACAGATAGGCAGGATGTGCCAGGTAACTGAGAAAAATTTATAATAGAAAGAAAATCAAAGATATTCAAAGGAAAACAATTTGTATATTTTTCAAGAAAAAGTTGTACACAAGTTCAACTGAGAAATCACAAAGAGGCTATTCAATAAAACTGTCTTCGGCTCCACTCCTAGGTCATTTAAGAGATATAGCCTTCCCTGTGCTTGCACACACACACACACATATATATATATATATATTACATACATATTACACAATTATATATATATATGTGTGTGTGTGTGTGTGTGTGTGTATTTAAATAAAAAGAAAGAACAGTAAGATATATAATCCGGTGTTCTTATAGATATTTTTATTTTTACAAAATAGTGCTCAATGTAAATTTACAGAGCATTAATATAAATTAATTGATTTAAAATATGGTTTTTTTCCCGCTACACAGTTCTAACCACGTTTCAAAAATGGAAGCTAAAAGCCACGAATTTAATTTTGCAATTAAATTAAAGACATTAGTTCCATTTCATCCTCAAGCGAATTTTGGAGTAACTTTTAAAATTACTGGGTTTTAAAGACACAGCTAAAATCACGTTTCCATGGTTACAGATAAATCTACTTCAATTGGACAAGGGTTATCTGGGTTTTCCTTATGTCTGTATCATTATATCAGTTATTAGCTACATTTTGGCAAAGGGTAGGGATGTATTTTTCAATGAGAACTGACAACTGTTGAATGCATGTCGTCTGAATTTTTTTTAAATTTATTGTTAACGGCCAAAAAATTCTTATGGCATTTTTTTCCTATTTGTAAATTTAAAGATTTTCGGGGGTGTTCAGATTAGAATACTTTTTAGTTTTTATTTAACTACGATTTGAAATATTCTCATTTTTAATTTTTATTGTACTATATTTTTTTTATGAACAGTTAAATGTATTAGAATCCCTTATATTATGTAGGATTATTTTTACAAGTATGTATATTAGGGTACATTGTTTTTTAAGTAAAATTTATGACAATGACGGCAAAAACAGTTACTTAATTTACTGATTTAGTAAACTTTTATTTCTTATATATATAAACCTAGTAATATATTGTTTCTCATGTAAGTACAAAGGACATGGGTCATTCATAAGCTTACATCTTCTGGCATTTCATATTAATTTTATTTTACTATAGGTGTTTTATTGGATTCTTTTAAGTGCATGTAGTACTAAGTAAAAGAAGTTTAGGTTAGAATTCATTTTATTTAACTACAATTTTAATTACAACTTTAAAATATTTTCATTGTTATTTTTAATAGACTATATTACTTTATAACAGAAGGAAATGTATTTGAAATTACTTATAGTAAGTAAAATTATTTTTCCATATCAAAGTATATGTATATTACGATTTTTCAACTTTTATATTTAAATATTATTTAAGTAATATTTATGGAACTTACTGCAAAAATAGCTAATTCATTTCTCAGATTTAGTAAACTTTATTTATTAATTAATTTATTTATTTTAAATACATATAAACTAAGTAATAAAGTTTCATATGTATGTACAAAGGACATGGGTTGTTCACAGGCCTACATCATCTAGCTTTTCGTTATAATTTCATTTTTCAGTAGGTGTTTTATTGGATTCATTTAAGTGCCGGTAGTACTTTTTGTTAGAGGTGTTTAGGTTAGCATACATTTTATTTAACTGCAATTTTTAAAAGATACTTAGGTTAGAACTCGTTTTAACTACAATTCTAAATACAACTTTAAAATATTTTTCACCGTTATTCCAAGAAAATATAAAGAAAAAACAAGTAAATGTAATATAATTACTTACAGTACATAAAATTATTTTTCATGTATACTACCTGATTGCCCCTATATTATTTAAGGAAAATTTTTGACAATGACGGCATATAATAGCTATTTCATTTCTCTGATTCAGTAAATTTTTATTTTTTATAAACTTAGTAATATATAGTTTCTCGTGTATGCACAAAGGACATGGGTCGTTTAATGACCTACATATTCTAGCTTTTCTTATTAACTTCCATTTTACTGTAGGTGTTTTATTTGATTCTTTTAGATGCCAGAAGTATTTTGAGAGAGATGTCTGATTTTTATATTTATTTATTCTAAATGAAGTTTGATGCTGGTTGAATCTTTTTTGAATTCATGGCTGGTGCAACCTATATATATTTTTATGTTTTCAGGACTTTCAATCGAAGACATATTGCATTGGTATACTAATGATTCAGTGCAACATTTATTTTGTAGAGGGCAATTATGAGGGTTTCTACAGTTACATAGTTTTTGTTTATTTCCATCAGTTTTTATCTTTATTTTTCCATTGTCTAAATTTTTGGGGTTTTGGTATAAGTGTTTATTTAAGATACTAGCATTATGGTTCTTAATGATTTTTTCTACGTTTTCTGTACAACTTTAACTCAATTTTAGTGTGTTTTTATTGAAAATAGTACTTAGTTTACTTTCACTAGGAAAATGCTTGACTATTAATGCGAGGAATTTATGTCCTTATTTGTTCTTTACCATTTGGTTGTATGGGGGAGTATACCAAATAATTTTTTTACATTTGTTTTTTCTATGCTTTCCATTTTCATTTTTTATATAAGTTAGTTTTGGGTTTTTGTAGCCGCTCTATTTAGCGCCTTATTATAGGAATTGGTATGCTCATCGAAAATCTTGTCATTTGCTGAATTTGTATTAATTCGTTTACTGATAGATAACGGTATATATTTAATTATAGATGGTGGGGTGATTTGATTTAGGGTGAATATATAAAGGATTGGTGTTGGGTTGTTTATAAAGTGTGTATGTATTTTTATTTAGATCTGATGTTGTATCTAGGAAGTCCACTTTTTTTAATTTAGTACTAACCGTAATTTTTAAGCCCATGCTTTTAAATTGTTTATATAATAACTTTCTAATTCTATCTATTTTGAAGTTTGTTGAGTTTCTAATAACCATAAGTCCATCGTCATTTGTATTAATATCATAGTGCACTGTAAGGTTGTATAATATAAAAAGACCAATGACATCAGAAGACTCAGCTGAGTCTAGTGATCCCATTGCGATGTCAAATTGGTCGTAAGAATTCTTAATCCATTCCTCAGATTTATGTATGAGTACCGATTTTTTTGCATAGAGAATAATGTTCCTTTCTTCATCTGTAATATCCGTATAGTGGGTGGCAAAGTCCAACGCATTGATAAATAGTTCTTTGGAAATTGATGGGTAATAATTATCAATATCAAATTGTATTAATGATATTGATTACACACACACACA